CCCTCGGGGCTGGCCCCTCCGCTCCGCCGCGCCCTGCATTGCCCTGCCCGCTGCCGAGGGCGCTGAGGCTGCGGTGGGGGGGGCGGCCGCCGCAGGAGCGGCTCGGGCCACAGAAACCGTCCGGCGACGCCTCGTCTGGTTCGAGTGTAACGCCTTACGTGGGCAAACGAATAACACGTCAGAGCGTTGTCTGCCGTGCAGAAACGGCATGAATGCTTTTCGGGCGGTCCGTAATCAGGGGAAAGCTTACATTGGTTTTAACGCGCCTCCGGACCCGTTAACCTAAAAAAAAGAAAAAGAGTCGTGTTAAAAATGTGAGTTAATCCCGAAGGTTTATGTCTTATACGTACTTCTTAATAGTCTCCACACAAAAAAAAAATCTATATACGAGTAATAGGTGCTTTATCTGATGAAAACAAATCAGACTGATGTTCCATTTCTTAATTTTGCTCAGATTTATTACCTGGTGGAGACCGCACACCCATTGGTTCCTTGCTAATGCAAGAGGATGGGCAACATGTTGCTAGAAAGTGGTAGAGCCATGTCAGTGCTTGGTTGATGTAATCTCTGGGATTTTCTGGCCTTTACTGTACATTTTCATGAGAATGCAGAAGAATGATACACACGTCATTCTATCTTCCATCACCACTCCAGTTTTCAAACATACAGTGCCATCCTTCTGTATCTTGTGCCAGTTCATCCATCTTTCCTGTCTAACATTCTGAAGCATCAGGAAACAGCCCCCCTGAAAGAGCAGGTGCTTCTACCGTTTTTGTTTGAAGAAGGAGTCCTGACAGAGGTTCTTAAAGAGGTAGCAGGGATTAAAGCCATTATGTTTGTTCAGCTGCACTCCTGAGTCCCGTGTGGGAACTGTAATTCAGTCTTAAGTAGAGTTCCATTATCTTAAAAGCGATCTGCTCCCCATTGTTTGGCCAGGAGTCCTCTGAATGCCTATAATGTTATTATTAATGCATTATTAAACCACTAAACCATTCATTGCCCTTAATTCAAAGAGCCAAAACACGGTAGACTGCAGTAATGTGATCTTTATTCTGAGAAATACGCTGGAAAACTGCATATGTGTCTGCTGTGAAGTTGGAAATAATTTTGTGAAACAATAGTTTCTAATAACTGCTAAATTGTGCTCAACAGAACTGTTACAAATTGGAAATATAGCTCCTTTGAAAATCATACTCGTTTTACAGTGGAGCAGTAAGAAAAGGAGTCCCATGCTTTGAAATCAAGAAGAAAAGACTTATGTATGAATATACTTAATGTTAATTTGCACGTGGTAGACTTGAGACTTAGCTGTGGTAGTTCAAAGGAAATTCAGATTCTGAGTCTCTCTTTATAAACCTCTTTCAGTCCCAGTATAAGCATTCATCATATTCCTTTAATTTATATTGTCTGTTGTGTGCTAAAAGAGATTTAGAGTGCTATTGTATGTTGACCACTTTAATTAAATGGATAATCTCTTGTAAAAAATACAGTCCCTGATGTACTGGTCCCGTGATGTTTGCATTATGGAATGAGAATTCTCAAGGGCAAGTTGAAGGGATTTTCTGTTGGGTTTCACCCCAGGAGCTTCTGTGGGACTCTGCCAGTGTTAAATTCGTAGCAGGAGCAGACTTTTGCTTAACTGCAATTGTCTCACTTTTTTTTTTTTTTTAGGTTAGAATAAGTAGAAGGAGGTACATTCACCAAATATGGAAGAAGATGCCAAACCCCTTTTGGTTCCTGTGGGAGGCGATGAAAGCAATTACGGAATCATGAATATACAGTTCAATCCAGAAGATTTTAAGTGCAAAAGGTATGAGGAAGACTGAACCTACGGAATGATTATATAGCAAAGAATTGTTTAATCTTTGCTTTTAGCAACAAAATCCTACAAAGACAAGACTTAACATTTGGAAACCATACAGTTACTGCTTTGTCTCTGTATGATACTATTTCCAAGCACCAGGTGAACAGATGTTCATATTGTATTTATAAGGATAAGACTTTTCTAGTAACATCACTTCAGAGAGAGTGCTCCAATAAGAATTTGACATGTGGCTTTGAAAGTTATCTTCAAACACTGAATAGCATGTGTATACTGAATCATGATGTTTTTTATTTAGCACAACAAACTGAAATGTTGAGACTGTTCAAGGAAGCTTGCCAGATGGTGCAGATAAATGGCTGTCAGTATATGTGAATGGCTCTGTATGCATTCTGCAGGTGATGCTGGAAGGACACATTATTTGCTAGTACTGAAGGAACTGAGCAACCTTTACTGCCTTTAAGAAGAAAAAAAAAAAAAGTATTTTTTGAGATTGAGCAAATATGAAAAATTCGGCAGCCCATTCAGTCTTTTTGCCATGACTGTGAAAATAGTACATATCTAGTTAAGTGGTTATTTTGCACGTTTTCTTAAGAGTTTAACCTCCTCCCAAAGGAGGTCGGGGTTTGAGATTTCCTCTGCTGTTGCAGTTAAGATTTCTGTGAGCTGGTCCTGGAATCAAAACTGAGATCAGAGTGGGAACTAACCATACGCTAGCTGGAGGCACCAGCTCTGATTTTTTTTTTAGACGAAGGAATAGCTGTGCTACCTCTTGGGTGCTGTTCATGGCGCTTTTTTTGACATTTGCATCCAGCATTGTATTTCAGTAGAGTAGTTTTACTGAAGGAAGTACAGATGGCAGTGTTGTATACGAAATTCTCTTGTTGGTGCCCACTTAAGCAAAAAAAGCTCTTGCTGATAGTGTTTTGCAGCTGTCTCATAGTGCTTTGGAAAGCCACTAGAGCCTATGTTTGCCAGGGGCTAAATAATCTCTCTTTGCGAGCAAATGAAGGAGGATAAGGGTCTGAGTGAGCCCGGGGAACAAAGAGAGGGATCATAGGTGTGGGAGCATATAGAATTTTGTATATAAAGTTTTAGGAAATGGTAAAGTACTTTCAGGTGGAAAAAGGAAGTGTGTAAAATGAATTCTTGCTCTGTGTTCTTTCTGAGGAGTGTCTGAGCCCCTCATGGCCCTCCTGGCATGGGAAGATTGCTAATTTTTATTGCGTTTGGGAGCACCTTGTGTTGGAGGAGTATGTGTGCTGCTTGAGGAGTTTCAAGTGTTGTGGTGATGCAGTAGCAAGGAGAGAAGGTTTACACCTTTGTGATATATCAAAATGCCAAATTCCCCTTTTCAAATGTGAGGTTAGGTATTGTTTCCTCATTGTGTTTTTTTTTCTTTTGATTTCTTAAGTTTGGACACTCAGCTTCATAAAAAGTCATCACATGTGGCATTTGATTCCCTCCCCGAAAGCAGAAGCATGTACTTGGGATTGTGTTCCCCCTTCCACAACTTCCATCTTTGCCTATCTGTCCACTTTATCCTTGTTGCTCCACCTTTTAGTTCATTCTTCCATTTTTACAACTAGTCTGCCTTCCAAGCATCAAGAGGCACAAAGATGAAGGGCATGAGTGCTAGGATATCAGGAAGACATGGAAATCATAGTAGGGCCAAACAAGGTTTAAGTCCATCTTTGCGTATTAAGGAGGCAGCTGCAGTCTTTAGGAGATGCAGTGAGGAAGAACAGGCCCTCGGGGTCTGTGTTGGCTGTGGTCAGAGCAGTGAGCGGTTTGAAGGTCAGCTTCGTTAGGGTTTTAGGGAGCAGCATCTCCAGAGTGAGAGTTTTATGGTGCAAAGAAGTATCAGTGCAAGTGCATCAGTATCTGACTGGCTCTGCTTAGTTTGCTCCTTTTTTTTTAACTTCACTATTCAGAAACCTGATAAGACATTGGTGGGTGGTTGTTTGGCATTGGGATTGCTCTTGGAGAGTTTTGTGGGATTTGCTTATAATCATTGTTCCTCGGTTTTAGGGCTGTTCTGTTCTTTTGTTTGGGTTGTTTGAGATTAGACGGCATTTGCATAGTTATTTGGTTTTCTTAAGGGCTTGGAGGATTTTTGATTTTTAAAAGTCATGCTTTTCAGTGTTTACATAAGAACAATAAGGTAATTGTTTTTTAGAGATGTAAATTATTTTGTCTATTATTCTTTTGCTAATTTGGGTAAAATATAAAGCCACTTTTAATCCTCTAAAAAAGGATGTTATTGTTCTTCACAATGACCCGAATTACTCATACCATATTAGGTGTGTTTTGCTCATTTTCTAGGTCCTTTTAAAAACTAGGATGTCATTGCTGCATTGGCTTATTGAAGATTATTGTGTGCAAAAGAGGGAGTTTCTTTTTTTACATCTGTTTATTGTCAATAGATACTGCAGTTGTATTTGAGAACACTTGAACATTCAAAGAAACAAACGGTGTTTTGTCTTGGTTGTTTTGCACATGAAAAAAACTTGATAATGCCCCCTGCTAAAGGGAGATCAAGCCTTCTTCCTTTTTTTATTCTTTTTGAAGTCCCATAGTGTTCTCACAACAATGTAGGAGAGATCAGTAGGTGAAATTAAACAGTTATAAATTAAACAGTGTCTGTAGATGGCAGTCATAGAAACCTTTTTCATGCAAAAGTGGTTGGTTCTTGGGGTTTTTTTCAAAGTTCTTTCAGATTACAGAAAAGTAGACAGTGGTTGGGACTAACCTGTGCAAAACTTCCCGCACTAATTATGCTTTTACTGCTCCTCATCTATGTGGTTTTACTCCACTGCCTGCTTTAATTTTTTCTGTGTTGCTAATATTTTTGCTGACTTCCAAATTTTACTACTTCCTAACTGGGAAGAATTAAAACCTTCTTAAGAACCTTTTGTACTTTTTAAGAGAAGACTAGCATAGCTTCGCCTTTGACACAGAACAGGGAACAGTGATTAAAATGTAGTATGGTAAAGCTTGTGATTTTTTTATTTGTTAAAATGTGTATTCTGTGAGCAGCAGAGATGTCTTAGTATTGTGCTCTGAAAGGTTATTTTGGTTCTGCATCCAGCATTTTGAGATACTTGTGTGGTCATGCTGTCAAAATGACAGTGGTGTGGAATTTGAAAAAAGTTTAAGTAAAATGTATTGACAAGATAATAAAGATCTTATAGGATAAACTAAAACCATTCTATTTATCATGCTTAAGTAAATTTGGACAGCTTAGAAAGTAAAATCAAGTCAGGTATAGAATTCTTTGCAACAGTTTTCCTTAAAGGAATTGCACTGACATCTGTAATGTTCCTATTAAGATAGCCAGTTCCCAATTAAGAAATAGCAACCTATGAGTACAGTCTTCTTATTACTACTTTTTCTCCTTATTTTATTTTCCATGATAATGACTCAGTTTTACTCCTTAGTATCTCCCATGCCATATACAGCATTCTTATAATAATTTGGTGACTCAGTAAGACAATAAAGCTGTAGAAATTTCCTAGCTTTATTTCTGTCTATTAATCCTACCATATCCCAGAAAAGTAACTGATTGATGTGGAGTGTCAAAAAAATCTATGCAATAAACCGAAGTGGCTCTTTATGGTCTTCTTGGATGAGAGGAAAGAAATTGTAAGCATCCTGTAAAAAATATTTTTTCATATTTATTTAAATATGAAGTTTGTCTAATGTGAAGTCTTTAATACCATCATGTACAGCCAAAGGAAACACTGACACAAAAAATTGTATTATGTTTGAACAGCTCGATACTCAGAGCACTGCTTTTGCGAAGATATCCAGAATCAGTTGTTTTAAAATATTTCAGCAAAGGTACTTGGAAAACAGTATTATTTAGTTTACAACTTCTTGAGATCGGTATCTGTCATACTGCTTCATTGGTCTGCAAGAGTACATTGCTAAAAATACCCAGAAAAAATATGTAGCATCCTTAGGAATACTAGCAGCTGCGAGGTTGTATGTAGTTCGCCAACCAAATTTTCCTATTGTGGTGTTCCCCCTAACCCTTCAAATCCAACACTTGAACTTTGTCTAGCACAATATTTTGGAAACAGCTTTAGTCATGAGCATCTCTTCCTGTTTTCTTTGCTTGCAAAAATTGCTGCTGAAGTTCATAATATGAGGAAGTTTGGACAGAAGCTCTCTTATCTTTCTTCCTGGACCAGCACTTGAGTTCTTATTAATGGTCCCTTTGTGTGTGTAAGAAATAACTAGCAGATGAGTGTAACTTCAGGGTTTCTGAAGTACATCTGCAGGGTGTATTGTGTGGGAGGTGTAGACCTCCTGCATGGGACCCTGCATCTTGTCCATACTCCCTGTGCTGTGGAAAACAGCTGTTTTACTGGTGTGTTTGCCCTGATAAAAAGAGCATTGATTTTCCGGCTAGCTATTGAAATATAAATTGTAATTGTGCTTTTTAGTGTGGATATAATAAATTCATTGGCCACTATAGCCTATCTCAACGCATGGAAATTGTGTGTACTGTTTTGTGTTAATAGTGACACCCTCCAGTCATGTAACCTCTCCCCTTCCCCCAGATCAAATTCTCACACATCCTTTTCATAATCATTTTTCCACATGAGAGGTATGATGTGGCTGCCTTTATAAATCAGAAAGTTTTCTAGGAATCTGTTGGAGCTGCTGATGCTTCATGTACAGGATGCGTGTCTGCTAGACTTAAGGTCCCTAATAAGAGTTTTCCAAAATATGTCCCAGATTATATCCTACCTGCTTTGGGCTTTGACTTGGAGTCTTTCAGAGCTTCTCAGACTTCTGAGTAAACCATATAACCAGTCTTTGATCTGGATGTAGCTGGGGGCTTGGAAATGACCTTGATTCTAGATAGTGCTACACTCTCCTAGTGGAGATCAGGGAGGAAGGTTGAATCCCAGCCTGCCTGCATAGCTTCCAAGTCAGACTGATGTTTTCAAAGACATCTCTAACAACTATAAAACGAATGGGTGGGCAGTCTGTTTTAGCATAGTCACTTGCTCAGTAAGACTAGAAGTGCGGTGGTACCCTGAGAAAAAGAAAATTAATTGCTGCTTTTGGTCATTTTCATTCTCAACAGACATGGGATCAAGATGGGGAGCAGCCCCAAGTACTGGCAGCATTAATCTCCTCTAGGCAGGAAGCAGCAGCAACAGATATATAGAATTTCTTTGGGTTTAGTTGTTGTTTTTCTTTCCTCACACATAGGTTAGATTCTGGATCATACCCTTTTGTTTTGTGCTGGACCATAAATTGTTCAGACTGAACTCTGTTCATAATACTGAAGAAAATGAAATATCCTCTAAAGAATTTCTTATCTAAAGACAGATATGTTTTTGCTACACATTAATTTTTTTCTTGACACTTGTTTGATCATTGACTAACAACACTGCGTTCCCCTTAAAATAGGATGTTGTAGTCATATTTCTGTTATTTTATTTTTAAAATCATCTGTGGCTTTAAGTTGAATTGCTTTAAAAAATAGTTTTCCACTCTTTTCCAGTCTAGAAGAATTTTCTTTGACATCCATGTCAGCAGTTGTTGAACACTATTTTGAAGGGATCGTTGACACAGATCTCACTTTGAAACGAAATGTAGACTTTGTCTCAGTGTAGTTTTTCCACAGTAGCAATGGAAGTTTATGGGAATGTACTAATAATATTGACTGCAGATGGAGAAAGAGGTAGTCGTCATAAACCTCTTCACACTATGGAGCTGCGGTATATCACATACTACTTGTGTTCTAAATACAATGTGTATCAGTGATCCAGAAAGAAAAATGCAGTGTTGACTGAGGGTGGGGAGGCATTTAAACATACTACATTTCATATTTTCATAACTATGGTCTTTATTTTACAAGTCTTCTAATGAAATATTTTAACAGTGTCCAATGATTGGGTCAACCCAATAAATTTTTAAGCTAAAACAGGTGAAGTCCTTTACAGCTGAACATCCATGACTATTTTTGTTCATTACATACCTATGGAATTAGCCCTGCATGCCTCTGATTTGAGTAATAAAGCTATAGTTTAAAATTTATTCCTGTTTAATTGCAGTATTTGTCTTAATTGTTTATAAAAACACAACAGAAGTCCGTACACAAAACAGAGATTTCTCCCTTCATGTCAGAGATGTGGAAAAAGGAGAGTCAATTGAGTATGTTTTAAAAATTGAAAGTGTGTTCACTTTTGTTTCAGTAAGTGGGCAATGGCTTAGCAAATCTAAGCCATTTTTTCCATGATGAAGGAAGGTGTAAGAATTTAATGAAGTCTAAGATGAAGGAAAGGATGAATTTGTGGAGAAGGAAATTATTTTTCTGTGTTTTCCACTTTTATCAGTCAGTTTTATTAGTCCCATAAATACTCTTACCTGCTTACCCTTTAAGCACACAGGAATAAGAAACCTACGTTAATTTCTTCCAAAGATAAAACAACCAGCTTCAGAGCTGCATTCATTTTCTTCCTTCCATTTAAAAGGTGGTGCCATGGTGCAAATGCATAATGATTCACTGGGAAAGAGAATGGGACCTTTGTTATGGTATTGAGAGCTGGGGCAGGAGGGGGGTTGGCCAAGTTCGTTTGTAGTCTGAGCCAGAAATGGGTATTGAAAAACAGTCAGTTCAAATAGACTTCGCTCATATTACAAGAAAAATGGCATGGATTTATTGCTGGCCTAATTTCTGCTCTTGCTAGCCTGAAACTTGTTGTGATCTCTACTTCTGTAGATTCTGGTTTTGAAGGTGGTTCTTGATTTGAGTGATTTAGACATCAGTCTGGAAGATGATGATCAGAATGTTGTTGAGATTGTTTTAGAAATTAAAAGCATGGTGAAAGGGAAAAAAACCCAAAACACTTTATCAAGGCTTACAGTTCACCAGTATCCCCTCTTGTCTGAGAAAGTAGCCTATCAGTTCCAGGAGTCAATGTTGCATTTAGGCAATAGCATAGTATGCCTATATGGAAGTAAATTATACTTGATTAAGAAAAAAAATATCTGCAATATCTTGATTAGGTCACATGTCTCTGGAAGCATCTCTTGCACGAAACTAGTTTTATGTTGTGTTGTAACTTTAGGAGCAGCTTTTACCTGCTTGCTCTGTACCTACATGGGTGCAGAGAAAACAAGGGATGTGTGATGTGGCTGCTTTCTCCTGTAGTGGCTGTGTCTGTGCTGCAGCCTAACTCATCTGTGGAAGAGGGAAAGGGTATTACCCGTGTTCTGTATGTCTCTGTATGAGAGATGCAGGACTTGAGTTGCTGGCAGTCCTATTCTCTGTGATTACCCTAAATAAATCTGAAGGAGAATTGTGAAGTAGTTCAGATCTGCAAATGGACATGTCTTGTTCTATGTTCTGTGACAAATTCTATTCTCAGTTGTGTTGGCTTAAAAATAGTACTAGCATATGGGCTTATTTGGGCTTGGTTCTTTCCTCACTAAACATAATTTCATACAGTGTTTTTTGCTAGATTAGTAGTTCCTAGTCTTTTCATAGGTGGTTCTCATTACCACCTCTCATTCCTCTTTTTCTTCATATTCTTTCTTGCTTCTGCTTTCTCACACTTTCTGTTTCTACCTCTGTTTCTCATCGCTAGTTCTGGCAACACCGGTTATAAGCACTAATAAGCTTGGAGAAGCATATTAACATGTAGTTCTGGTGTGACTCATTGTTGAGAACACATTAAATGGATATAAAGTCTGAATTTTGATGTCAGATTGCCCCACAGAATCTGGGCAAGAGGCTGTTTTAATATGGATGATATAAACATATGGTTCTTTCATGGATGGCAGCTTCCCTTGTGACAGTGATATTTTTTGTATTTGCTTTGTGTCAGCGAATGACAGACTCATTGTGAGTGATGCTAAGCTGTTTTCTGAGTTGTATGTTAGCTCTAGTGTTCTAGGGGTTTAAGGATTTTCCTTTTTCTTTCTTTTTTTCCCCTCCTTTAGACCATTTCATGTGGAGCCTACAAACATAGTCAGTGTGAACGATGACATGCAAAGAGTCACTGATGAAGCTTCAGCAATGAATAAGAGGATTCATTACTATAGCAGGCTCACGTCTCCTGCAGACAGGGCATTGGTAAGGCAAAGACCGGGCCAGATTAACTGAGTGATCTCTGGCATCCTGGGTCTTCCACAGACTAGGTTTATAAAAGAAACAGAAATAAAGGTGGGGTAAAATCTTTCTGCAGCTTGCTTTGAAGTAAATATCAAGTAGCTGAGTGCCTTAACAATGTCTTGTGTTATCACAAGTTGTGATTGACTTCTTGTGCAATGCCTTCACTATCCAAAGAAAACATACAAACAGCTTGAATTTTGTAACAGTTCCAGGTGGTCCAGATGTGTATACTCATTTCTCCCATCTCTAAGAGCATTTAAGCAGTGGTCAGCTGCAATTTGTACTGCAAACTAGCATGATATGTGCACAATATGTTACAGATATGTTGCAGAAGAAAAATCTGGTTTTCTACTACCTAGCTAAAAATCCTATCAACTGTTGGTTGTTTTTATGGGGAGAAAATTAATGTAGTCCAACCTTTTTTTTAAAATGTACTTTTCATGGAAAGATTTTATGATTTATAGCAGTTGGCTTACTGTATTTGGAACCATCATTACTTTGGTGTTACTAAGTCTTGTTTTTTATCCATTTGTTAGATTGCTCCTGATCATGTACTTCCAGCTCCTGATGAAATCTACGTGTACAGTCCATTAGGAACTGCTTTTAAGGTTGACAGTTACACAGATGGCTATGGTAAAAACTCCAGTATAGTGACAATGTATGTTAAGCACCTTGCCATATATTAGCCAGAAAATGCATTATTATTAAATGTTCTATATATTACAGAATCAGAATCATCTAGGTTGGAAAAGACCTTGAAGACCTAACACTGACAGTTCCCAACTACACCATATCCCTCAGTGCTATGTCAGCCTGACTCTTAAACACCTCCAGGGATGGGGACTCCACCACCTCCCTGGGCAGCCCATTCCAACGCCTAACAACCCGTTCTGTAAAGAAATACTTCCTAATATCCAGTCTAAACCTTCCCTGGCACAATTTGAGGCCATTCCCTCTTGTCCTATCACTTGTTCCTTGGTTAAAGAGGCTCATCCCCAGCTCTCTGCACCCTCCTTTCAGGGAGCTGTAGAGGGCGATGAGGTCTCCCCTCAGCCTCCTCTTCTCCATACTAAACAACCCAAGTTTCCTCAGACATTCCTCGTTCGACCTGTGCTCCAGACCCTGCACCAGCTCCGTTGCCCTTCTCTGGACACGCTCGAGTCATGCAATGTCCTTTTTGTAGTGAGGGGCCCAAAACTGAACACAGGAATCGAGGGGCGGCCTCACCAGTGCCGAGTCCAGGGGTCAGATCCCTTCCCTGTCCCTGCTGGCCACGCTATTGCTGACACAAGCCAGGATGCCATTGGCCTTCTTGGCCCCCTGGGCATACTGCTGGCTCCTGTTCAGCTGGCTGTCAATCAACCCCCCCAGGTCCCTCTCTGACTGGCAGCTCTCCAGCCACTCCTCCCCAAGCCTGTAGCGCTGCTGGGGGTTGTTGTGGCCCAAGGGCAGCCCCCGACATTTGCCCTTAGTGAAACTCCTGCAGTTGGGCTCAGCCCATGGCTCCAGCCTGTCCAGGTCTCTCTGCAGAGCCTCCCTACCCTCGAGCAGATCAGCACTCCCACCCAACCTGGTGTCATCTGCAAACTGACTGAGGATGCACTCTATTCCCTTGTCCAGATCATCAATAAAGATGTTAAACAGGAGTGGCCCCAAAACCGAGCCCTGGGGGACACCACTCGTGACCGGCCGCCAACCGGATTTAACTCTGTTCACCACAACTCTTTGGGCCCGGCCATCCAGACCATTTTTTACCCAGGGAAGCGTGTGCCCATACAAGCCTCAAGCAGCCAGTTTTGCCAGGAGAATGCTGTGGGAAACAGTGTCAGAGGTCTTACTCAAGTCAAGGTAGACAACATCTACAGCCTTTCTCCTATCCAGTAAGCAGGTCGCCCTGTCACAGGAGATCCAGTTTGTCAGGCAGGACCTGCCTTTCATAAACCCGTGATAACTGGGCCTGATCATCTGCTTGTCCCACGTGTGTTATATGATGGGCACTGTTCAAACCGTCAGGCCTGTAATTTCCCAGATCTTCCTTCTGACCCTTCTTATATATGGGCGTCACATTGGCCAATTTCAGTCTGTCAGGATCTCCCCAGTCAGCCAGGACAGCTGGTAAATGGTGGAAAGTGGCTTGGCGATCACCCCAGCCAACTCCTTCAGCACCCTTGGGTGTATCCCATCCAGTCCCATGGATTTGTGTGTGTCTGTGTGATGCAGCAGGTCATTGACAATCTCCTCCTGGATTGCTGGGGGGGGTTGTTGTCCCAGTCTCTGTCTCCGTGCTGAGGAGGCTGGATTCCCTCAATAAAGCTAGTCGTCTTATTAAAGACTGAGGCAAAGAAGCACCTCAGCCTTTTCCTCATCACTTGTTAACATGTTTCCTGCTGCATCTAGCAGGGGATGGAGGCTCTCCCTGGTCTTTTGCTGCTCACATACTTATAGAAACATTGCTTGTCCTTGACTGCTGAAGCCAGATTAATTTCTAGCTGGGCTTTAGACCTCCTGATTTTCACTCTGCACAGCCTCACAGCATCTTTGTAATCACTGTGAGTGGCTAGCCCTTTCTTCCAAAGGCTGTAAACTCTCCTTTTCTCCCTGAGTTGCAGCCAAAGCTCCCTGTTCAGCCAGGGTGGTCTCCTTTGCCTCTGGCTTCTCTTACAGCACCTGGGGACAGCCTGCTCCTGTGCCATTAAGACTTTCTTCTTAAAAAGTGCCTAGCCTTCCTGGACCTCTCTACCATTCAGGATTGTCTCGTAAGGGATTGTGTCAAGCAGGTGCTTAAACAAGTCAAAGTCTGACCTTTGGAAGTCCAGGATGGCAGTTCTGCTGCCTCCTCTCCTGGCCTTTCTAATTATAGAGAACTCTATTTAATTTCATGATTGCTGTGCCCTAGTCAGCCTCCAGCCACCACATTATCCACCAGTCCTTCTCTGCTCACAAAGAGGAAGTACAGTAGAGCACCTTCTCTGGTCAGTTCACTCACCAGCTGTGTTAGGAAGTTATTTCCCACACGTTCCAGGGATCTCTGTGACTGGTCCTGCTCTGCTGTGTTGTATTTCCAGCAGATGTCTGGGAAGTTAAAGAAAACAAGAGCTAAAGTTGAGTGATCGTGAGATTTCTCCTAAGTACCTGTAGAATATTTCATCCACCTCTCTGTCCTGGGTGGGTGGCCTGCAGTAGACTCCCACTACATCATCTGCCATGTGGCCTTCACCCTGATTCTAATGCAAAGACTCCACCCTGTCTTCACTACACTTATACTCAATCATAACATTCCCAAACATACAGAGCCACCCCATCACCTCTCCTTCTTTGTCTATCCCTCCTAGAGAGCTTGTTGCCATCAGTTGGCACACTGCAGTCATGGGACACATCCCACCATCTTTCTGTAATAGCCACAACATCATAATTTTCCTGTTTTGTCATGGCAAGCTCCTCCTGTTTGTTACCCATGCTGTGTGTACTGGTATACATGCACTTCAAATGGGATGATGTCCCCAGCCCTCTTGCATTTAGAGGTTCTAATTCCAGCCTGACCTTTCACAGGTGTTACCACAGTTACTGATCCATCCGTATCCCTTGCATCGTTGTTGTGCTGCATGTCTCCATCCCTTGCCTCCACTGAGATGGCAGGGTGTGGGTCATCGCTGGCACATCAGCCCACAAACTTTGTTAATCTACCCTGGGACTTATATCTGGGAGTTCCAGTTTTGTCCCCTTCCCCCTTCAAGTCTAGTTTAAAGTTCTCAATGAGCCCAGCTAACTGCTGCCCCAAGATCCTTTTCCCCCCACTGGGACAGGTGCATTCCATCTGATGCCAAAAGGTTTGACATCCTGTATACTAATCCATGATTGAAAAATCCAAAGCCCTGACAGTAACTCCAGTCTTGGAGCCACGAGTTCATCTGTTGAGTTCTCCTGTAATTGTATACATAACTACTGTTGCTAAGAGGGTAGTATGAAGTAAGAGTGCTGCTTAAATTACTTACTGGGTTTTTTGTTTTCTTCCTAGATTTATGATATGGAATACAATGATGGGTACATCTATATTAAGTATCCCATGGGGAATAAAACAGGTAAAACTGAAAAATGCATGTGTATGAAAATGGTTTTGGTAACATAGCTTGTTCTTCATTTTTCCTTAGTGTTACTGATAAATAAGCTAAACTGTATTTCTCCCTCTTAACAGGCAGGCTTTACTTCTGGAATTATTCTCATCTTGCTGATGGGTATTTTGACTCTTTATTGCTGCTACAGAGTTGTGAAGTCACGGAAGATGATACGTAAGAAATACAAAGCTTCATAACACAAATGCTTATATTAAGTGTGAAATACAGAGACCTAACAGATTCCTAGTTTGTCTGTATCTGTACTGTACGTTAGACCTGACTTGCAAAGTGTTCCTTTGAATGTCTCCCTACTTTTGTAGACTGGATCTAAGCTCTGTAAACTAAATGTCTGTCTTCCCTTACTAGATTATCCATCAGTTCCTTGGGACCTAAGTATTTTAGCCAAACCCAAACTCTTAGCAAGCAAGGTTTCAGATGATCGCTTACTAAAGCATTTGGGGACTTAATTGAGTTAGAGGTTTTCCTTCTCTGTAAGTGCTGTCCAGTTCTCTACATGGATTTCTGATCATGTGCCACTGTGGAACAGTGAGGGCTGTAGCTGCAACCACTTGTGTTGTATGCCTGTACAACCCTAATATTTGTGTATATTCTGTCTTAGAAGCAATTTATGGACAATTGCCTCAGTGTTTCTACTCAGAATGTACTTTTATTGTTCAAAACTCATCTTGCAGGTGATGCATAAACTAACCCCTTACTTGCTCAAATAAAGGCAGTTAAGACCTCTAGTTTGTGACAACTCATTTCAGGGCATTGCTGAGGACATGTGTTGCCATAACTCTTTCAAAAGGCTGTAGCTGCAAATGCCTGGCGACATTTTTGACATCGTGTCTTATTCCAGTGCTTCTGGAAGTACTCAAAGTAATAGTATGGCCACAGTAAAAGCTTCTCCTTCAGGTTCATTCAGTCAAATGCATAATGAGTGTTATACTTAAAAGCTAACAACAATCTTCTTAGCCCTTGGAAGCACTGGGAATTTGTGTCAGAATATTCTGAAACAAGAATACATCCTGTCATGAAGAGTTCTACTGACTCTAATACAACATTTTGTCTAGATATGTCTGGTTTTTGTATCTTCTTCAGCTTTAATGGATACCTCAAACTGGGAATTCCCAGATGTTTGCAAGTATTACTTTGGATCCTTTGGTCAGTGGTCAAGCCTCTTATTTTCTATGGTATCGCTGGTTGGAGCCATGGTTGTTTATTGGGTGCTTATGTCCAACTTTCTGTTCAACACGGGAAGGTTTATATACAGTAAGTATACATTTTTGGTTAACTTTAACAGCTATCTTGTGGAGAGATCAAGACTTTTCTTTATGCTGAAAAACGCTTGTCCGTTTTACTTGATTTTTCTGTTACTTTCTGTGAAAAGTGAGAATAAGTAACTATGGGCATAGTCCTGTATGTTTTCAAAGCCAGTTTCTCAACTGCTCTCTTAAATTGTGATTTTAATGAAAGACAGAGTATCAGTTACCTGATTTGCATGTCAGTAATGAGGCTTTTTCATGTAGTTTAAACAACCCAGACCTGATTGCTTGTTTCCACTCTTTATTTTCACTCACGCCTTGTTTGCATGGGTGTAACTATTTGAACAGCTATATAACAGATTAGGCTGTTGAAATCATACACATTAATGGAAAAAAAAATCTAGTTTCATTCTAGATTTTAACAAACACACTTAGATTGCTGCCATATAGAAAGTTTCTGCAAGAGCTGTAACATGGAGAAAGAAGGATCCTTAGTCTGGCATTGCTACAGAACCCCCATATCGATTAGTTATACCCTTGTATGTGCACAGACACACAAGATTTGTGGATACAATCAGGTATGTAGAGTTGTGAGAATAAGTGATGGAACTGAGAGCTTTGAAAATATGACTCATAGTGTTGAATAGCATGAGTAACATTTGAGGATTTCTGTTTTGAAGGTAATTAACAAGTCTCTGAGGCAAATAATAGCTCAGACACTTATACCTCTTAAACAATGTTTAATTAGTGTTCCCACTATCCCTGAAGACATACTTTATTGGTTAATGACTGGTGTACTTTACAGCTGACCTAATTCATGTATTAAGTCTGTTTCATTTTAGACTTTGTGGGGTTTTTTTAATAAGGTTATCAGTTTAATCCTAAATTATTCTAAACCAGATAACTCCGATTCTAATAAGCAAACATCAGAATGATGAAACCAGTTCCTTTTCTGGGAAAAGTGTCCCTGAGATTGCCATATTATTTTATCACTTACTTATATTTATTCAAGGTTCTTATTTCATTTGTTTGCTCTGTGATAACTTTGATCATTGGATCCTTGTCCTAACTTTCATTGTGGCTACTTAATTACTAGGTTATAGAATGGGTAATAGGATGTAGGTTTGACACAAGGGCATCTTGCAGCCATGCATTTCAAAGTTATTCTAATAAGCAGGCTACTGTAATTCTGTTACATTCAGATGACTTCTTAAAAAGTCTGCACATACAATTTAGGTGGGAACAAACTAATTTCCTAAAGAGGATGGTTTAGAAAGTAATAGTATGCAAAGAATGCAAGAACTGTAAGCCAAGTATAATATCCTGTCCTTTTTTTAACATGATCTACCATGCTTTTGGTCTGTTTTTGTTTTATGAAACAGAAATAAATCCACAAATGCAACTGTTTGTGCTAAAACATTTCTTAAGTAGAGATGAAACATAAATTGGCTATCCATCTATAACTGATTTTAAATGCTCTAATTCTGTAAAAGTTATCAATTATTTTGATGTCTTCAGACTAGGTACTGGTTTTTTAAGCCACGCAAAACAGTGGTGAAGTGAGGAGGTGATAAGTGATTTTTAGTTAAATCTTTGACTGTTGCTTACACTGAATTGATATCAGTAAGTGTGAGAAACTCAGCTGCGATTCAGTGTCATAAATCAAAATGAAGAAACAAAAAATAGTTTTCTTCCCACAAGACTTTCTTTCTGAGAAACAAGCTGACTCTGAGGCCTACTGCCTCAGTTGATTTTCTGTGTGAATAATATACCCACATGCAGTAGAAGCAAATTTTAACCAGAGACACACTAATTAAATTTACAAGCTGATGGGCATTTTCTGTGTGTATATATACATAAATATTACAAGTTGCTATCACATACTTTCGTACTGGTGAAGTTGCCTAAACTTGGAAATATCTGGTGTGGCAAAGCAGTAAAGTAGCAGAGGAGTACTAGAAACAAAATACTAGAGGTGACTGTAGACAGTGAGACTTAAACCTTTTTCAAGAGATTTCCTTCTTTAAAATACAACAGGGAAAAAGCATCCCACAGAGCCTCTTCTGAAAAAAAAGATGAGAAAAATTAGTAGAGGAAGCTTTTTCCATATAATACCATCTGGACGAAGGGTATGGTTGCATGTACTGTTTTGCTGTCCCCAAAGAGGCTGGTTTTAAGGTGCATCTCCTTATTAACCAACTATACAACACCGCAGTCCAAGGAGCTGGGACAAGTGGAGGTGTTTGCTAAGGGAACAGAAATGAACAGCTGGGAGCAGGTAGGCTCAGGAACTTCATAAATGGACAGGGGTGCTGAGATATAGATAGTGCAGTGGGGTGCTACTTTAAAACAATTCTAAAAGAAAGTTTTAAAATATCCACTTGGTTTTGGGGGGAGTGCAAGCTGCTGTATTGTGCCTCTGATGTAATTTTCCAAGATATTACCTTACTCAATTTTTACCAAGTCAACAGATTAAAGCCTAATAGCAGATTTGGGACATCAATAGTAAGATTTTCTTCTTTTCAGACTTCGTTCATGACATTAATGTAACAGATATTGTTCCTGGAACGAATGGAAGTAACAAAGGTAAGAAGCACTTATCAGTATTTTATTTCCTGGTTTGGAATGGGTGTTTAAAGGCAAATCATCATGTTTCCATGCCTAATGATGTTCCAGTTATAAAATTTATGTTATAATTCGAACTACCTGGGTTTTTTTAAAAAAAATGTCTTTTACTATGTGGGATTTGTACTTCCACGAATAACCACAGACTTGGAAAGATTAATAATTGGAAGAAAAAAAAAAAAGAAAGTGGGGGTGGAAATAAGGAATAAAAGCAGATTACAAGCTTGTGTATACCCAGAGGGATCCTTAAAACCATGACTGTTAGACCGCTTAAACAGTAGTTCTACAATGAGGAATTTCCATAAGGAATTTTAACTTTTGCACCCTAGAATTGAGGCACAGCAGGTCTTTTTGCTGTTTAAAAACTTGGCTAGGGCATCTTCGCTCCTCACCACCTCTGCAGCAACTTCCATATTTTAAAAAATGCTATAAGAACAGCATTAATGATGCCGAGTGCAAAAAGAAACAAGTGTAATGGTGCCGAGTGCAAAAAAGAAACGTGTCAGGCTATGTGAGCATTGACTTTTGTTTTGGGGAAGGTGACATTTGCACAGCTAAGAGAAGAAACTGCAGTCAACTATGAAGATAGGTCTGTTGAGAGTTCTTAAGTAGGCAGAATAATGTAGAATAAAGCCAGGAACTAGGCATTGGCAGCCTCTGATCTTTCTGCCTATGTATAGTACCAAACATGTAGTGTTTTGTTATAAAGCATTTTCTCTATCCTGGGTACTTAAGGGTATGAGGAAACATTTCAGTAACAGCCAGACAGCTGTGTGTCACACTAGCTGCCACCATGTTTCTGGAGAGCAGCTGTTTGGAGTCAAAGGAGTTGAGAAATAAATTCTGAAAAGCAGTTGATTTGCATTTGAGCTAGTGTTGAATCCTGTTTCTCCTGCAGTCCTGACCAGCTAGGCACCAATAGCTGCTGCAGTGCTCTTATGCTCTCTCCTGCTTCTGCTGTTCTGTCCCATTTTTATACAGCAGGGGGTATAACTTGGAGACAAAGCAGACAGCAATATTCCACAGCATCCTCCAGAAACTAGAAGGTTTAAAGCAGCTGCTTCACTACATTAAGGGCTTCCAGATGCTCAAATGACTCTTGGCAGGGCATTCAGGGCTACCAAAGAGATCAGTAAGAACAAAAGCATTTTCAAGGTCTGTGAAACAATCCTCTTATAAGTAATGAAGGAAAGCAAATGAGAAAACTGGAAGTAAAGTAACATAATGGTCTCTCAAGAAATCTGATAGAACACTTTTTACACTTTTTTTTAACAGAGCAGGCATGCAGCCGGTGCAGGAGGGAGGCTGTTGGGTATTGTGGGATGCCAAAATTTAAAACAAGACATTATGAGAACAGTAAGACAGGTTCATATTTCAACACATAACTTTATAGGCATGTGTTAGAAAGAAATGCTGATAATAACAAAAATCGAATAAACACGTTTGATCAAGGGCTGGTTTTGGTTAATTGGTTTTGTTCCAGTCACTTGTTCAGGTGCTGCCATTTTTCAGCCACCATTGTAACAGGAGTGTGACATTCACTTTTGGCAGCCTTATGAGTGCTTATCTTAAATTGCTTGTGTTGTGTTGTCTAGCAGTGATGTACTTGCACCTGGCACATCAAGATGACAGGGTGTTTTGGTTCGGTGCTGAGTTTTAGACCTGCCAATTGTTATAGTAGCTTTCTTGTCATCCTTAGTTTGTGTGTTCCCAAAGTACTATACAATAATACAGGTTCGTCTGTACACATGCACTCACATCTTGGTTCATATGATGTTACTGAAGTGTGCAGGGACAGATTACAATGCTAAACACACAGCCAGATGCAGAGGTGTGTTGCTATGACTTGATTTCAGCAGGTGCTTGTAGGCACTGAACACAACTAATTGTAGGTATGTGACCTTGAAGGTTGATCTATGCCACAGTTCAGGCTTTAGACAAATTAGCATCTTTGAGTGCTTGGTTGTAGGGAAGATAGCACTTGTCAGCTTAGAGTGCAAGGTGTCTTGTCTAAGTGAAAGCTTAGTGCCGAACTGATTGGAAAAAAAACCCAAACCAACAAGATAGGAACTGAGTTGTCAAACATTGCTTTTGAGTAGTCCTATTCAGAACAGGAATTAGGGGATCTTGGCTGTGAACATTCTGTGCAAGTAAAACTACTTTCATCTGGGGATATTTTTCTTTTCCTTTCTTCCAGTGATTTGTCCAGGTGCTGCTGGTGGTCATCCACCACAGAACAGGAGTGTGATGTTCTCTTCAGGCAACAATACAGGTTTTGAACTCTTCGAGGAGTGGTGGAACAAATCACAAACAGTACCATTTTACCTGATTGCTGTTCTTCTACCCCTGCTAAATCTGAAGTCTCCATCCTTCTTTGCAAAGTTTAATGTCCTAGGTAGGTAACAAATACTGTTAAATATTGTTTCGTTGTGGCTAAAATGTATAGAAAACAGTGAAAGCTACTCCAGCTAGTAGAATCATAGAACAGTATCATTTAGGTTGGAAAAGACCTTTAAGACTGAGTCCAACTGTTAACCTGGCACTGCCAAGTCCACCACTAAACCATGTCACAGAGTGCCACATCTACCTCTTTTCAGTGCCTTCAGGGGTGGTGACACAACCACTTCCCTGGGCAGCCTGTTCCAATGCTTGACAACCCTTTTCAGTGAAGAAATTTTTCCTAATACCCAATCTCAACTTCACCTGGTGCAACTTGAGGTCATTTCCTCTCATCTGATCACTTGTTACTTGGGAAAATAGACCGACACCCACCTCGCTACAACCTCCTTTCAGGTAGTTGTAGAGAGCAATAAGGTCTCCCCTCAGCCTCCTTTTCCCAAGGCTAAACAGCCCCAGTTCCCTTGGCCACTCCTCGTAAGACTTGTTCCCTAGACCCTTCACCAGCTTCATTGCCCTTCTCTGGACACACTTCAGCACCTCAATGTCTTTCTTGTAGTGAGGGGCCCAAAACCAAATACAGTATTACTTATCTTTACACCTACAGAAACCTAAGTCTTTAGGAAACTACAGAATATTTTAGCTGTTAAGCTAATCCTCAAGTACAGAACCTTTTGTCTTCCTAGTTTCTTGACTATTCTCTTCAATTTATTTTTTAACATCAGAGATACTGCTAGAATGAAATGGTGTCCTATCTGAATCTGAATCCTAAACTGTAAAGATGCTGCTTCTTTGTATTAACTTGTAACCTGTTCTCTGGTCACTAGCAGTATTATTGGCCAGTAGGTTGCATCGCAGTAGCCTTAATTACTGTTGCAGGGTTTTTTTAATTTTTAGGTAGTTATTATTCTGCCTTTACCTATTTCAAATGGTAGGAGCCAGGACCTTATGTTTTGCATCCCACATGCTGCAACAGCAAGGCATGTATACCCATCTGTGGTCTTATCTGTACTTCTTTAGCTGTGCAGAGTACTGCTGGATGCCTCTGAACCAATGAGATGGAATGCAAATCCAGCATTATGATCAAGGTTATCCAAGGTTATGAACAAGACAAGGTTTAAATCAGTAGTGATCAAATGTCATTATCAGCTCCTAGCTCCCAGTGTTAAAGTTCACAACTGCAATAAACATTCATATCTCATTGGGCTCAAAATGTCAGTGACTGAATGGATGTTATAATAGCTGAAGAACTGTGGCCAACTTTGTCTCACGTTACAGATTAAAATCCTGCAGTTGAAGTTGGAACCTATCTGTTACTGCCTAGAGACTTCCCTACCTGACCAGCACTCTGCATTACAGGGTACTTCTTCCACTGTCACTAGTGCAGTGTCTGGAGAACACTAAACATGCTGAAAGCTTGCATTGGGTGCAAGTGCATTATTCTTTCTCCCTAGCCTATGAAAGAAATAAAGGAAAAGACAATTTAGACCTAGTGTGTATTTTTAAGAATGAATACCAACCCTAAGTTTGGGCTGCTGGGAACTAGTTGGATGAATCAAGAATAAAACACAGCACAAATACTTGCTACTCCTCATGTTGTTTATTTGATTCTTGTCTTTTCTAGGTACTATTTCAGTTGTCTACTTAGTTTTTCTGGTTACTGTAAAGGCTGCTCATCTGGGAATCCACTTAGAATACAGTTGGTTTACAGAGAATGATTTTTTTGTACCAGGTAAGGTAGTTAAAATGCAGTAATGAAGCATATATGTGATGGATTTAAGATTTCTTAAAGCAATTAATGAATGACTTTCTCATTTACCTTCTAACACTCTGTGACATAAGTAAAGTGAAGAAATGCTGTCTGACATAGAGGCTCAGGAAGGATCCCTTGTGACAAAGTGACAAGGAATCCCTTTCCCAGTGATGTTCCTCAGTTGGAGACAGTATCAACACTGTGGAGGAGTGCCCATCAGAGGTATCTCCAACATATATCATGCCATAGTCCTGTTTCACCTATGTTACAGTAAGTTCTGGCTGCACCGTTTTCAGACCTATTTCAGTAGCAGCTACAGTTGACAAACTGTAGACAGACTGACTGGTAAAGGTGCTGTAAGTTCTCCACATACTGTCTTGCTTAAATGACATAGCTCACTGACCATAATTTACAAGTACTGTTTTCCTGTACTTCCCTGTCTGTCTGAGGTTTTAGTTCATATCTTTTAAACACCTGTTAGCAATTCAGTATGTTTCCTTCCTTTCTTGAATGTTGTGTCGGTGACCGTTTGTTCTTTCCAAATTACTGTTATGAATTACTGTGTAAGATGTCACAAATAGTGGTACTGCATGAACAGGTAGTCTAAAGAGATCAGTTTCTTGGTTTAGGAGGCTTTGAATGAGAGACTTAACCTAGGGGTTAGGTCTTAGCTGTTTTTCCCCCGTCCTTCACAACAGGCAAAATTGTATGACCAGTTAGCTCCAGGGAGCTGTGTCCTATACTACTGAAATGTATCACTGCTTCTGTTCTTAGAAACAAGTATTTTGTCCTTCTTTAAAAGTTCCTTATTTACTTAAGGCAAAATTCAGAGATGCATGTTCTTAGGTTTCTTTTGTGGGTTTGTGCATTTTTAGTTTCCAGTCACAGTAAGCACTGTACTAACCGTTTTACATGTGGGTGGCAAACTATTGTTAGGCCCAGTAATGTAGAATTGGAAAAGAAAACAAGGATAACTTAAAAACATTAGGATGGGATTTTAATTACTATAGCAAGATAGAGATCCAAAAAATCAACAACAGTGTTGTTCTGTGTTCCTAGCAGAATCTGATCTAATATGTGGAATCATAGTAACACACTGTGGCAACAAGAGAAACAACTAGTGAGTAAACTACATATAGTAGTTAGTTGAGTAAAGTTACTGATATGAAATTCAGCTGATTGGAGTGTGTTCACGCCACAGTTGCAGTGGTCTTGCAGCTACTTATTCGTTGTCATCTTCTACCACTCCATTTGGATTGATTCAACTCCCTAGTTGAACTGAAATTGATCTGGCACAATAATAAGCAGAATAAACAGTTTAGCTAGTGTATTTCATGTACATTTGTCAAAGAAGTCTACTCAAAACACAGTATTCCCCTTCTCTGACCCCCAGATACTAGCTATTATCAAATCTGTTCATTCTTCCATAACTGCTGGACGACAATCCTTCCTCATCTCGGCCAGGCATTCAGAGCCCCATTTCAAGATATGAATGACAAGAAACAAGGGAAAAGCTGTGTAAAACAGTTTCTTCAGCTTGGTCATGTCACCAAGAAAAAAAAAATACTGTCCTTTCTGGCTGAGTCTTCAAAGCCAGGCAAGTTTTGCTGAGTATGACTGTGTGCAAGACCAAAGCAGATGCTTTGAGGATGAACTGGATTATCATCCTAATCCCCTAAGAATCCTCCTGACTACTGCAGCATACGTACAGACTAATAGATGGATGTAGTTCATTCTGAAACAGTGCTTGTCTATGCAATCTATTTTTCTCTATAACTGCATTGACTTTTAAGCAGAATTTTTGGAGTGACAAACTACTTTTTGTCTCCAGTGTGAAAATTTCGATTTCAATACATTGGATGATGACCTAATTTATTTTGTATGGCATTATTCTTAATGCTGTCTGTAAGCAGAAATGATACTCAAGCATGTGCTGCTCAGTCAGTAGATAGACCACAATGTTTGGTCTTGCTCCATTGCAAGCATGGAAACATGGTTTTAACCTGAACTGCCCCAGCAGACAATCTTTAAATGTTTACATGGCCTCACATCTACAGACTTTTCCTGGGACTGCAGGAGAAAATTTGCCTAAACTATGGTTCACTAGCAAACCCAGGTAAACTGGAATACAACCTAAGTCTAAGAAATCAGGTTTTAAGCATCTTAAAGTTCAAGTCCAAGATCTGTTAAGCAGTCCTAGTGTAAAAGAAATTATAGCACAACATGTGTGCCACGGGTCACTAAGAAGTAGAGCACCCAGTAGTTTGATTATTTTGGCAGTGCAACTAGTGCTGCTAGGAGATAAGACAAAGCATGTACCTAATGCATATAAATCCAGCTACTATTGATTGTTGTAGTGATGGAGGAAACTCAGTGCTGAAAGAGATTCTGAATCTGTCCGTTTGATTTTTATTATTGAGATTAAAGTAGTGGATGGAAGACCAGCCCAAAAGTCACTGGGAGTCTCAATTCTCAGTAGCATGTCGTGCTAGTTAGGTATTGAAGATACAGTGAATCCAGACCTAGGGAAGGCATGTTCTTTCAACCTGAATGAGCCCTTCGTTAACTGCCTAGGGTGTGTTTACCTTACCAACTTCATAGCACTTTAGAGAAATCTGGTTTAAATATGTTTGTATGGAGCACTCTGTGGTTTGATATGTGAGGATTTGTGAGACTGTTTTGCCATATTGCTAGATGCTTTCCAGAAGCTGAGCTAGTTCAGGGATCTGTAATTGCTGTTAGCACTCTAAAGAGTACATATATCCTTATATAATGCCATCAAAGGTGATGCTTTAACAATGTTACACATTGGTGAATTCCTAGACCAGTTGCAGCACTTCCAGAAACTCAATCTTGTGAACTTAATCCTTCAAGTATTAAAAGAAGCAGGGCAGTGTTATTCCCATGGAGACAATAAAATATGGTAAGACAAGAAGTTGCTCTGCCTTTCTTTATGCTCTGGTTTGTAAGCAGAACCTCTTCAACACCTACAAATGTCATTTCTCCTCTGGTAGCATGACTTCTTAAGAAACAAAAGATGCCTACAGAGCAAATGATTCCTTCCCCCATCTCCCTGCTCAGGACCCAGTAGATATACAGCCTCACTGCAATCAATTCCTGCCTCAGAAATGTTTTCCAATGAAAGTGTTGAATATCAGAGAAGCTTGTATGTGTAAATCCTAGATTAACCAATTAACTTTGGTGGTTGGTGTCTCTTGAGAAACTTTGCTTTAGAGTATGTTATATCATAACCACTGTCTTCATGCTTTTTTTACTTCGTGATTAAATATCTGTGTTGGCTATAGTCAAAAATAGATTTCAAGGTGGAGGTTCATGTTTCTGCCAGTAGATTCCACAGCACTGTATTTCCTCTGCATTTTGGCATTGTTTGTTTCAAAGTAATGAGTTGTTAACACTTTTTTTTTCCTTCCTTAGAGTTTAGAATTCTGTTCCCTCAGCTCACAGGGGTTCTGACACTTGCCTTCTTCATCCACAATTGTGTCATCACACTTCTTCAAAATAACAGGAATCAAGAAAACAATGTAAGTAATTTCACAAGACTGTGCTGATTTCTATTTATATTGCCGGGTGACACTAATTTTTTCCTGTTTGCTTCTTTTGAAATAGATCCAGGGACTGTAATAGCTTCAGAAAATGTAACTCTTGTGATCTGATAAGAAACCAGTTATACGTACTTTTCACTGGATACTAACCAATAATAGATGCAGTATAAATTTATTCAGATAAAAGACTTGAGGACCATCCCAGACTTATCTGTGGTCAGGCTGGTATGAAATGGTCAAATTACACAGAAGAGTCAAAAGGCTTGACAATGTTGTAAAACTCTGGAAAAAACAACCAGTTTTAGAGTGGAAAAGGCAGGAAAATACTGGGTACAGGACTGATTTTAGCAGAATCCTGAAAAGTAACGTTAGGGTCTAGATAATGATCTTTGCTCAGAGTTGCTTCAGTAGTTTTGTGTCACAATCCAAGTCAAGGTTCATAGGGAAACCCAACCATGTTTAGGAAGTCCTCAAAGTTAAAGCCTGAATTGGGAAGCTTTGTGATACGTAAGCTTTGGACTGGTTTCCCTTGAAGAAGTTATGTACCACTCATCGATATGGAACTTCACTCTTTCTTAATATTTTCCCATTATAAAATACAAAATAGAGTAAATGTGGTACAAAATTAGAGTCCTAGAGTACATTTTTACTGCAATTATTTTGATGATTTTATTTTTTCCTTCCTACTTTCTATGATTCTTGTCCAGCCTCATTAAAATCTTAGCTGTAAAAGTAACTACTATAACATACAAAGATTTTAAATATTAGCTGTATGAAGAACTGGTACAGAATCACAGAATGGTTGAGGTTGGAAAGGACCCTTGGATATCATTTTGTCCAACTCCCCTGCTCAAGCAACATCACCTAGAGCTGGTTGCTTACACAACACATCGGATAAAATATATCTGATTTGATTATTCAAAGGTGAAGTGCAGAATATGTGCCAACGATGACCTTTTGCTTTAGCAATTTGCAGTTATCTTTTTGTCCCTGTGAACCAAGGCCATCTTGTGAGTGACCCCCTCTGCAAAGGAGTCATGAATTCTCTAGGAAAGCTGCTTGGGGTTTATGGGCGTTTATGAAAATAGTTTACTGAAGAGAGGGTTAGTGGAGCTCTGGAGAAAGAGAACTAAGTAAGTTTCTTCTCAATTTTCTTAAGAAAATCTTACAATGTGGAAAAGGGCAAGATTTCTCTTTTTATCTGTGGCAATCAAGTTCTAAAGGCATGGTCACTCCAGCAGTCAGCTCTGTATGCAGAGGCCTAATGCCTTCAAGACTTTTTCTGTGGCTTTTCCCCCTCCATTTAGACTGGAGCAAGCAATCGACTGTAAAGTGCAGCACCTGGAATCTTCTCCAGCTTGTTTTTCCTGTGTTAAAGAGGAAAAAACTGCTGCCTGCATTTGAATCAGCTTTTCTGAATGCCCACCCTGGAGCTTAAATTGAATCTCCAAGTCAGCCCTAGTAGGGATCCCAAGCCCTCAACAAGACTCCACATTCCAAAAGAGTGTTCAAATTGCACGGAAAGAGCACCTTTAAGTATGGCAGGAAAGATTTGTAATGGGAAACCAAATCTGTGCATAGTTCTTGGAGTTTTATTTGGCTAGATATTTTCTTCCCTGTTTGTAGCTGTACAGGAGACTTTTCACCCAGGACTCAAAGTGTTTTGCAAATGTTAATGAAGCGCTGATGCTCTTGAAGAGCTATTTCACTAAATTGCTGGACTAAGTGGGACGTTTGCATATGTATAGGGGTCTCAACTTCTGTCATAAGTCACGGTGTTGAGGGTATTTTTTCCTGCGTATTTACAGCAACAAGGTGCTTTAGATGCTTTGTTCTAGCAGTATCTCATGGGAAGTCGAATGAAGACTACTGTTTTATGCATCAATCTGTTAACATGTCACTTTGTCAGAATTCTATGAAAAGGCACAGAATTTGGCAGCTGGAAAAGTACTGGCTTAGTTTTGAACAAAACTTGCTGAAACGAGTGGTCATAAGAACAACTCTTTGGGGATGTGAAAAAAGTAAAAGAAACAATAACATTCCTTTTATGGAATCACAAATGCAAAACAATAGCAGCTTCCATTCTGGTAACAGGCGTATATCACTGTCCAAAGCTAAAACACACATAGAGGGAGGATTCCTCTGACTGTTATTCCAGTACAGTGGTGTGGGTGCGAGCAGAGTGGTGTACTGGAGTGAATGTCAGCAGCACAGCGTGGAGAAACCCTATGAGCAGTGTCCTTGGTCTGTAGTTCGAAGTTCAGTTCCGTGTTCCCATCTCCTACTGCTTCCCCCTTGTGCTTATCTGTGTATGTTTTTGTGCGCTGCACCATCAACTGCTTTCGAAACTGATTGCATAGAAAAAGTAACCCAGCCACAAAAAGGTGATTTATTCGATTTTTTGTTTGTTTGAATTTTTTTCTGATTCACTTCTATGATTTGGTTCCCTGAGCAGCTGTGCAGATGCCGTACAAGCCCAGAGCATGATGTAACAGGCTTGAATACTCTAGTGCTGTCTCCTAGCAATTGTTTGTGGACCTACGTGGGGGAAGGGCTGTGAGTGGGGAAATGTATTTTGTCCAAGTGGTAACTGCAGAAGGCATGGTGATGTGGATGGTTCTTACTTTCTGCAGTACTGAAACACTCTTTATTCCCTGTAAACAGTGAGCTTCCATTGATGCTGCCCTACCACTGGTTTCTCTTTCCAGGCAAAACTATGCACAGCATTATTCACCTTGGGAAAGTACTTTTTTTTTGTCATCCTGTTAAATGTTATCACTTGCCCTTGAAGTCTGTTTTTATGATACAGGTCAGAGTCTTGTTGAGATATTACAGAGGCAGTATCTCTCTTTTGAGAAGTGACTGGTCTGAAATGAGATGATCAAAAGGTACTTCCAATGTGGTAATAGTTACTAAGAACTGATACGGCTTCTCCATCCAAGAAGCAACTCTGCAAGCTAGCTTTCACTGTGATACTGACTAAAAAAATGAACTATTTTCTCCATGGCATGTGATAGGGAAAACAAGGCCTGCAGTTGCCAGTTTTTTTCAGTGTAATATAGGAAATATCCTTAAAGCCACAGAGCCTTCACTGTGCTGTGTCCAGTCCTGTGCTGCAGGTCCAGCCCGTGCCTGAGTGCTAGTCTGAGTGTGATACAACCTCTTGTGCTTTTTAGAGTTTTCTTTGTTAGCTTACCACACGATCTATCAGATTCATCCTTTTGTTAGGAGACTGATTTCTGCCTTCCTGCTGCTGCTGCTGCCAGCCTCAGTCATACAGTTTTCTGTTCTTCCAGAAGCGCTTGTAACACCTTGTTCTGTGCATCTGATGAAGAAGCTCCTGATCAGCAGTAGCTGTAGCTAATATATGTTCTCCAAGTTCCACCTCAAAATCTGCCCGTTAGTTTAGGTGTACATGACAAGGGCTTGGCAGGTGGCAAACTGTGATCCTTATGGACTGTGGCCTGCATGTTATCTCTGATATTTCCCTTTCACTCTGGTCCCCCAAATACTTACTCCTTTCAACCATTTTTTCTACATTTGAATCTGATTATAACTCTAGGTGCAAGGACTGCTGTATTCTTTATGCTTAGCTTCCACCATAGTGATGTCCATTCTGAATATAAACATCTTAATATAAAATTTAAAATAGACAAATGCGATTATTCTGTTCTGTTACTTAAAATTAATCCTTTTATCTCTCTCCATGTGTCCTTTGGTTTTATCTGGAATTATGCTGTCTAAACAGTATTTATAGTCAAGGTCTCCAGGGAGTGAGGCCAGGTCTCCTGAAGAGTAATGAACAGTAATCAAAAGATGTTCCTGTTAGATGCACAAACTCTTGTACAAAGATAACCTCTTGTATGCAGAAGCAGATGTTTGCAAGGGAGCTGATGGATATTTGAGAAAAAAAATAATTCAGGGTCTAGAGTTGTCTACTTCTTTTCTTTTTGTTTATAGGTGACAGCACCTGAAGACAAGGGTCTGTTGTCACATGCTATAAAAATACATTATCAAAATTATCTCAAGAGTTAATTTCAGTACAGATTAAAGCATACACCCTTAAGAACTGTAAAACATGAACTGGTTAGTATAATCAGAGGTAATAGCACACCAGCTATCAACCCTTAATCAAGTGTAGTCCAAAGGAAGCAGTAAGAATTTAGTTTCAGATTTCTTGCCCTCACAGCTGGAAGTACTTGTCACAGGAAAATAGTTTTACAGTTGATTCTAGAGTCTATATGTTGGCTGAATACAAATAGCAACTGAGAGTTACTATGCTGTCCTTACACCTGAGGAATACACCAAAAATACCAAATTTAAAGCAAATGAAAACAGGTTTTGTCAGATGATGTGCTTTAAGAAGGTCTTGGGTGCATTTTGAAAAATTAAGCAAGTCTTGTCCTGAAGAGATGAGTCTGGGTTTCTGCAAAACCACCTTACTCTGATTAGTCTCTGGCTCCTGCACTTAATGAACTTACTCATAAATAACTATAAGAAATCTAGATGCTCAGTTTAGGATGGGCACCGGTGCTTTTGAAGAGGTAGCTTCTCATGTCACTCAGAAGAAATTCTGGGAATAACTTAAAGATGGAGGTTGATAGTCCTTACTCAGTGTGACCAGTGCAAGGAGAGTGATGACTAGAGAAGCATCTTCCAGCTGCATGTAACTGGTCAGCAGGAAGATGAGGTTGTAGCTGGAAGTGTGCAGCTGCTGGGAGCATGAGGCTCACCTTGGGGTACATGTTAACAGTGTATTCTTGTTTGAAAAATATTACTGGCTTGTTGCAGGCTGATGGGAAAAAGGCATCAATCTTCTACCCCAAAACCACTGAAAAATGATAAAACTCTAAAAACTGGCTTCTTAATGAACTTCTCTTGAAACTTGAAATCTAGCATTTTTTTACTTACCTTGGGGAACACCTTGCCCTTGGAAGACTCCAGGAAGATGTAGGATATGCTTCTTTTGTCAAGGAGATAGTGTGAAGAAACACTTAGGGAAACATTTGCATGCGTAGATGTGAGTAAGCTTTGCCCATGCTCAGTGAGCTGGCTGGAGACCATAATTATGATCCTGGTTTGGATGCCATATAGTCCTAATAATCTGGTGCTGTGCCTGAGCTACTAAAACTTGCTTCTCAGTCACAGGAAAATAGGGTCATGTATTGAAGCATTACTAGTAATCCTTTAAGAAGCTGATTATTAGCAGCAGCTGAACAAATTATTTGCTGTAAGGTAATGAGTGTTTTGTAGTGTATCATAAGCTTATGCAGACTATAGTTGGTTAATAACTAGAAACAAATGGTCCCCCACTTTATTTCAAAAAAACCCAATTGATGTACAACAATAATGCAATAAGTACATTGCTGAGGTCACTCTGATATATATATGGATTCTACAATTTACCAAAGTGATTGATTAAATTTGCTACTTATTTTCCAATATTAAATGTTGATATAAAAAACTTTGTGTAGTTGACAATTTTTTTATGTATTAGATACTTCATAGTCAAAATTTTCAGAAGTGAACATTGAAGTTAAGGTTTAAACCAGCATTTTAGTTAAATGTAACATAGTTAAGTATGGATTTATGACCCTAGCTTCAGCACTCTTTTTGAAAAATCTTTGTTATTTAGTGTACTTAATTGGAGTCTCTCTAGATAGTAATAAAGTGGACAGGCTATTTTAAATGAAAGATTCATTGTAAAATTCAGTGCTAAAGCTAAGGGACATATACCTCTATACCTTTCTGGTTTATTTGTGATTTATTTGTATTTTTTATTTAATGGTGTATTAGCTATGTTTTTCATTATCACACCATTCATAGAGAAGGCCAGTGTATTAGTTTCTGGTTTGGAGCCTGTGTGTGTGTGTGTGTGTGTGATCCTCTTAGGTTTCAAAGCAGCTTCTTAGAAAATGTCCTTTATGTTATATGTGCAGTTGGTTAGGCTGATGTCTTTAATTGCAAGACTTTATTCCTGATGAGATTTAACATGTGACATTGCTGGACTTTCTGTCTTTGATGGCTGTCTCTGTCCCAAGGCTCTTAGCAGGAATAGGTGAATGCAAGAAAGTAGAATGTTTCTTCTTTGTTTGTTTTAATAACTAGTGTCTGTTTGGGCATCCAGCAATAACATGCTACATCTATTGACATATGTTTCTTAGTGCCTTTTCTGTATGTAGATAGATACATCATACTTGTCTAGCTCCACTTTGGGATATCTTCCTGCAGCTTTCTGATTTGATCCAGGACCAGCTTTGAAGTCCCTATTCAAGTAATAGAAAGTAAAAGTGAAAATGTAGAAATAATAGTAATAAATATAAAACTAATAAATACAAAAGCAACAGTAGATGCAACAGAAATCTTCTCATGAGAGAAGATTTCTCATTTTTATTTTGCCTGTTTTGGTGTGACAGTGCTGGCCAAAATAAGATTTTATTTTTCCTCAGGTGAGAGACCTCTCTATTGCATACTTCCTGGTGGGATTAACGTATCTGTATGTTGGAGTGATAATTTTTGCATCTTTCCCTTCACCGCCACTATCCAAAGAATGTATTGAACAGGTAAGATACTTTACTGCAGTATATATTCATCCTTGGTCTTCTAATAAATACTTATTAAAGAAATAACTATTACTGCTTCTTGCTGCATGACTCACCCTGGCAGACACATCTGTCCTTGACACTGGACAGTTGGCAAATGCCTCATGGCCACTACCACAAGCAGATGAGTAATACTTTCAATATCTCATTTATATTCATGTCTAGTCACCAGTAGTTCTGTAAAAAAACAAGCATTTAATAAATACTCTGTGAAAGTGATGAAGAAAGGGCCAAAATGAACAAGTGAACAGCTGGGGCCTTAATTTCTTTAGTTTCTTTAATCCTGAAAAGTATTATGATTGCATTTAGTTATGTGCAGTGACCAGTTCCATTCATTGGGACTGGTTTCAGGTACCCCAGAAAAAGAAATACAGTGAAAATGCAAGCTCATGTAGATAGGAGTCCTCATAATGGGTAGATTTGGAGTCTAACTCTGTGGTGAGCCTTGCCAGCAGAGTTTTTGAGATAATAGCACCACATGAAACATCTTGTGAAAGCTATTAAACTCTCTATCTGCTTATAGGCAAGGCTGATCCCCACACCTTAAATTACTTCAAGAGATAGGAGTTATCAATTGGTGATCCATTTTACACCAGGTATTCCATGTCTCTTGCATAATATTTAGCAATAAAGCAGCATTTAAGGCTTCCTTTGACTGTAGGTTAGTTAGAACTGGTACAATTGTTTAAGAATGAAATGAAATTATTTTTTGAACCATTTGAAATAACTTCATGGGGCAAAATCCACAATTAAATAATAGATGACAAATGTTTTTTTTCCCCATTTATTTTCTATAGTTATCCTAAGTACTTACAAAGCCATTTGTATATATTCGTGATACTTAAGTCTTATACTATTTCAGATGTTCCCACTTATAATATATGATCTGTCCCCCATTTGTATATGATGCAGTTTTACCAATTAAATAGCTGTTTTAAATATCTAGCTATGATATGACAAATAACAGGAGTATGTTAATCCGTCTGCCTAAAAAATCAGGTGACTTTTCCACAGCCATGATTATTTGAGGATGTTCAGAAGATTAGAAAATAATTCCATCTTTAATGCTAACATCAGCCCTGTAATATTAAAAAGTCAGTTGGTATTTGGTGGCAAGGCAATTGTAAGAGAAGGAGAGGGTATTTCCGATTATGGAGTTCATGTAGCAACTGTAGTTGCTTGGCTTTTATTCCTTTCTTTCTTGCACATAGCATTAAGACACCATTGATAAGTGTAACATTCCTATGTTTAGAATTTTCTAGATAACTTTCCCAGTGATGACATCATGTCATTTGTTGCAAGAATATTCCTGCTGTTCCAGATGATGACTGTATACCCACTGTTGGGCTATCTGGCACGAGTGCAGCTGTTAAGACAGTTTTTTGGAAATGCTTACCCAAGGTAAGAAGTCTACTCCTTGACAAGAGCTTGGCACACTTTGTTTAACTGGCCTTCTGTTGTCAGATATTTGGCTGAGCTTTTGGGGATTTCCTTTGCTGAGTTAGGTAGATTTCAAAAGCTAATTTCTTAGTGTTTGTAGAGTCAGGGGATGACTAGGCATGGAAAATAAACTTGCCTGTAAACCAGGACTGCTGCAGCTTGACAGAGCAGAGTGGAGGGATTCTTTTGTTGTAGTTCTTCATTTTGTCGTTAAACAGAGGAATTTTGTCAACACTCTTGCTTTGTGTTAGGCATTTATATGGCAAAAGAAAAGTTGTACAGGAAAAAAATTTTGTACAGTCCACAAACATTTCATCAAGTAGTCTTTAAGCTGTGGAGGAGGTACAGTCTGGGTATTATCCTCTCAGGGTGCTCTCTGTGTTTTGATTGCGCATAATTAGTAAACATCCATCTGTTTTTAAACGGAGCTAATAGCTAAGTGAGTGTTATCTAGGCTGCTGCTATGCTTATAAAAATAGCTTTTCACATGCTAATTTCAGAGATGAGCCACACCCCTGCATTTGTACACTGTCTGAACTCTGGGGAAGAGCTCATCCAAATTTCAATTTTGGTGTTCTTTTCTTTAAACAAAACCTAGGACATTTATATTTGGAGTATTGTCTGGATTTGTCACAGCTCAGAAGTTGGCATTCGTCTATGAGTTTCTTATTTTATATTGTGAGTTACTGTTGATGGAGGAAAGGAAAAAAATATCCCGGGAAGAAACATGTATTTCCTCTGTGGCATCAGCCGTAGCATGCAGGTCTGGGAAGACATTGTTCCAAGTTTCACATTTCTTCTGGGTCCTAAAATAGGTAGGAGTATGTCTAGAAATTGGATGCCTAAAATTAGGCAGTGAAATAAGGGCCTACTGTTTTTTGATGCTAAATTGTACGCAGTTTAATGTTGAGGAGATTTTTAGGAACTGCTGCAAGTTACTGTTGGAAACAAGGCCATTGATTAAAGTGCTAAACATGGATTTCACAGCCACTGGGAAATAGCCATGTCCTTTATGTTATGTGGATGTCCTCTTCCTATCTCCTCCCTCCAGTTACTCCCTGACCAGAATGGTTTTCATTTCCCTCATGCCCTCTTCTAGAACCAGCTTGCTGTTTTAAGCCTTCATGATATGATGAATGTGATGATGCAAATACTTGCTTGGTACTTGTCTCCAGGATGTTCTGTGCGTAGCTTCACAGACTTTTGGTTTTTTGTAAAAGACTTATAGAGAAACATTTAAAGTTTCTGAGAAGTCAGAAATGGTTTCTAGGAAACCGCTTAAATCCCTCCAACCTGTAGTGGTAACATAGTACCTTCTGTCTGTCTGTGTCTCTTTCGTATCTGAAGTAGCTCAAATATAGCACAAAAATCACTCAACTAACCTCCAAGCTCCAGCTTCTGTGCCTCTACAACCGATAAGGTCAGCCCTTAGTTTTTCTGTGCAGCGGGGACTAGCTGAAGACTGGTAGCGAGCACAGGACCTGTCTCTGGGAGGGTAGTAACGATTTACTACCTGGTTGTGAAATACAATGCCTGGTTCTCACCACTATCTAAAACTGACAAAGATACTTTAGTAGCAGTGTTCCTATATCACTTTTCTAGGAAAATTTTCAATATTCTGAGTTTTTCCCAAAGCTGCTTTTATGGGAGAACATTTTGCAAAGAAGTAGCTCTTACTGACATAAACTGTGGTCTCACTGGGGAGCCTGTTGATGTACCCTGAAGAGCCTACCTGGCAATACTAAGTTCCAGGCTTTTCTGCAGGAAAATGAGTACTCTACTAGTAGTTGTATATACTTGGCTTTCTTTTATTGAAGTCTTCAATGTCCAGGGCTAACAATTCTTAGGCAGTAAGGAGACTGACCTTCATAGCCTCAAGCTTTAGTTCTTAGATGTGTGCGTAAGGTGTATGGAGGAGAATATTCTTTTATCACTTGACTAGAGAACATATCTGTTTAAGTAATGACCCAAAAGAATAAAGCAGGAGAAGAAGAGCAGAACAGAAAGTAGAGTTCTGTGCTGATCTAGAAGAATTTAAAAAAACCCACCCTATAAAATAACAACAAAACCACAGTTTAAGATCTGTACAATTACATTATTTTTCTACATTTTCTCATTATTTTCAGGTTGCAGAAGTGAGGTTTAGGAGTGTGCACTCATGGTACATCCATCCATCTGTTTATGCAGCACATTGAGTAGTGTGCTGAATTCATATTGATCATGCATTTGAGGATCTCTGTTGGCAGCCTAGCCTCGTTTAACCCTGTGACTCAATGTACTAAAACACACATATTTCTATAGGTGCATCCTTCCTTTATTAAGTTTACTTTGAAGCTGAGGGAATGTTATAAATTTATTTTCTGGCCATAATTGTCCAATTTTTAATTTATTTTTTTTTTACAATAAAACCCCCAAAACCCACAAGCAAACCTGCTCATCCTTCTTTGGCCAAAGTCCCCACTGTAAATCTTCCTACTTTCATTTTTAAGCCCTGGGTTCTCCATATGTGTCTCCATATGTCCAGATTTGTTGGAGGTTTCACATGAACTGGAAGCTCCCGAATATTAAAAGCCAAGCTTCTTCATGTGAGCAGTTGTTTGCATATGTGGATACCTGCTGCTGCTATGGATGGAGTTAATGGATAGCCATTAAGTTATTAGCTGGAGTACTTGGAATTCTGAATGGATGCATCTTAAAGCTGGCTTTTGATTTAATAGTTTCATCACACACCTGCTTACAGGGCTGCCAGATAATTTTTATTTTCTGGCAGTGACTATGTTGCTCAAATCAATTTGATTCTTTGCTTTAACTCCTTTTTCTTTACTATTTATCTGCCACTGGATGTGTTGAAGCACCGAGGTATTAGTTTACCATTTTTTAGTTCTTAGTCTTGACAATTAGTCTAATCCAAGGCAATTTCTACCAAAAGCAGCATTCTGTTTCATATCCTGGACTTTGTTGATAGGCCATGGATTATAACTGGATTATAATGAGGAACCATTTACTCAACTTCAGGGGAATTTTTCTTGTCTGAAGACTGATCCCCATATGTCTTCTGTCCCACACTTTTTAGATACTTTGCAGTGCTATTTTTCCACTAGCAGTGCTTTGCTGTGCTTATCCTTAGTGTATCCTACTAACTTGTATTCTTGCAGGAGGAGCAGCTCACCCTCTCCAAATTTAAAAGCTTAAGCAGACAATACATAACTTTTGCTTGTTCCAGATTTCACATCAGGGATCAGCTGAACAGTGGCAGGTTGCTTGTCTGAAACATAGGGGAAATGAGTAGCATCCTACATCCTCCAGCAGGCAGAAGGAGAGCAAAAGCCTCCCCTGCTTCTAAGAAGGGGAAATCTCCTTCCTCTTACAAACCAGTATCAGTCACCTGTTTCTCTGCCTATCTTAAATAGGTGTGTAGATATGCTGGGCACAGTAGTCTTCTGACAGGCATCATCACAAAGCCTTCAGCCTTTCTGTGCTTCCTACAAAAGATTTAGAGACAGAAGCATCCTAACTCCTTTTTTCATTTTGCAAAATGCATGCTAATGTACAGACTACAACAAAGAAAATGATGTACTGGGATGAACCCCAAGGAACTGTTCATTCTCTTCTTCTCTCCCTGGTGTTGTAAAGGAAGGCCACAATGTCATGTAATGGGAAATTACTTTTATTCCTAAAGTCAGATATGTTTGCAATGATGTTGTTTAATGGGTTACTTGGGGCCAGAGGCATGTGGTTTATCTGCTGGCTGTTACATGACTCTGGATCTAGTTACATGTACAGAAAACTTTTTTTTTTTATTACTGTTACTGGCTCTGGGCTACAGTGATATTTGTGATAGATAATTCCCGTGTTTAATTATATGCCATGCAAAAAATGCTGTGTACAGTCACCTGATCAGTTTTAAAAACTTTTTAACATCTTTACTGTTCTGAAAGGTTAAATAAGCTGATGGACAGAAATAACTTGGCTTTTCTTAAAGATTGTCCTCCCTTTACTCCGCTGTAGCCCAGCAGACCTGCTAGTTCTCCAACAGATGTGTGTCTTCTGATGCAATGAAATACATTTCTGCTGTTTGCATAAGTGTTTAGTTATTTGCTTTTCACCTAGCTTCTGTCTTGCTTCTTAACTGCTGTCATTCATAGTCTTTTGACCAATGTCCCTTGACTGGAATTTCTGGTAAAAAATGCATTTTTAGATACAGTAACCTTTCAGAAATTCTTACTTAAATTAACCTGTTTTGCTTTTTTTCTTGCTTTCCTGTTTCCCTTATTGTGTGTGTTCACCCTATGACTCCATGCTGAGTCCATCAATTCTAATTTCCTTGCATCTGACCTGAGGAGATCTAAAATCAGTTTATTTCTTTAAATGTCCCCTGCCCTTGGTTTCACAATTTTCGATATGATTTCTACTTTGAGGATGCTGAAGTTAATAAGCTATATGTGGTCACTAGTGTTCAGTGGCTTAACTGTAGCTACCAATTCTGCAGGAGAGAACTTGATAGATCAAGCCCTCTAATGATCTTCTGGCATACCAGGTTGTTTCTTGACTGTCAATCTGAAAGGTTAATCTTGCAGCGAGGAAAAAAGGCAAGACTTAGGGGAATGCCTCATTGTTTTTTACATTTTTTCATCCTCTCTACTGTTGTTTTTGTGGGATTGCAAGATTTTTGCAGGTGAGCAGCAATTCCTTTTACAGAAGAGAACTAGAGTCTTCATCTGCCCAGCTGAGAGTACTGAGGACAGAAAAGACAGAGTGCCACGTGCTCCACTTGGATTGCTGTGGATGTGCCTCTTTTGTGAATTATTGCCTCCTTGAGGCAACCCAACCGGTGCTTCAGAGTGGCAACCCTAATCAGGCTGCCCTGGCAGACAACCCAGCCCTGTCTTGGGCCACCCTACTCTGCTGCCATTGACCATGAAGAAGAAAGTCATGCTCTTAGAAAACTGCTGTGTGCCAGCAGGGTGGTTAGGTAAAAAGGGGCTAAATCTCATTTCACATCCCTAACATAATCTAAATATTTTTCTCCTATAGTTGTAATAAGCAGAGGTGGTATGGTTATGCCCCTCAAAAATACTGTTTTTCTGACTACCCTCTAGGAATGTATGGCGACCATTAATTGTACCGTAAGCCAGTGTCAGGCTAAAACAAGAATTTAGAATTTGTTAAAATGTCATGGGCTATGAGAAATCCTTGTCCCTTCTGGAGCACACCTGCATGAAACTTAGTCTTATGAAAAACACTATCTAAAATAATACACCTACTAGTAGCCCTTAATACCAGATTCGTCTTTATTCATAAGGATAGGGTTTTTTTCTAAATGATGCCTTTCTCTCCATTATGAATGTGACTTTTTCCTGTCTTGGAGCTGAAATGAGCTATGAATATCTACCTAAATAAAAGAAAGGGTTTGCCAGTTAAAGGTCTGTTGTTTAATAACATAGTTACAACTCGGAGTGTTTCAAAAAGGTAGAAAAAGGAGCAAGGATGTTCCAGAGGGAGAAATACAGTGTAACCTGTTACCCTGAAGCAAATGGATTTAAATCTTTGTCAGACTTTGATTTTGGTACTTGAGGATCCTGCTTAATTGTAACAATTAAAACTGCAACGCACTACTCTGCAAGTAATGAATTGTTTTCGAAGCTCCAGCATTTTGAGACAGTTGTTTTCAGTTGAACCAAAACACAATGCCCCCACAAGCCAATTACTCTTTCCCTAGATCAAGAGTTCAGAAATCTTTAATTTCACACCAAACACACACATACCACTTTCCTTCAGCAGTTATAAGAGGCTAGAAATTATTTTAATTTTTTTTTTCTTTTTTGTGAACTACAAAATAACTTCTTCTGTTTTAAATCATGCCAGAATGAAACACTTCAGAATTTTCAGGTTTTCTGCTGAAATATTCTGAACTGACCCAAATTTGCAGAACATTTTTGAATTACTAAACCTGCACTCTTTTTAATCCCTTTTGCTAAAAATTAATCTCAGAAAAAAAAGAAGAATGAAAGAAGTGCAGTAATTTTCTGTGTTCATAAACTTTTGACTTCAGCTGTGCTCTCTGACAGTAAAATTTGTGATCTGCTGTATGTGTGGGGAGAGAGGAAGTAATTTTTAATGACAAACACTTTTTGGAAACTGTTTAGTTAATTGGCTTTCCTCAGCCGTATTAGAGAAGCAGTAAATGTCTGGTCCTTCTTTCCCTAATAAGTCTGATTCTTGGGATTTTATTTTTTATTCTTGGGGTTTTACCAGGTTTATATCCAATTATGTTTTCGTTAAAGTTTCAGCTGCTCTATTCCCACTGCTATCTTCAGCCTCTGAGGTACACCTCTTGTACCACTGTTAAAATGTCATGTACAAAATTAAAGATATTTCTGTCTTTCTGAAATCAGTTTTTCAGAGTCAACGTTAGAAATAGTCCATATCTTAAATTATTCCTTTGTGTTTAAATCACCTCAGTTCCCCTAAACTTTAATTACTCTATGTGGAAACCGGCAGCTACCCTTTCAGACATGGAAGTGGTCACTTTTTAAAAGCTTGTTAGTTAGTGACATTCTCCAGAATACAGATACTTTCTACAGTTAAGTAAAAATTAACATTGGCTTACAGATTTTGTTTATTTTAAGAAATCAAATCCTCCAGAAGAATAAACAAAACCTGTATGTGTATCTATATATCCTTTTGTGTGAATTCTTTTTTCCCTTCGTAGAAACAGCTGTGTGACCAAAATATCACAGTTTTTTTATTGTATTTCCTGACTTTATGTTAAAATATGCCAACATTTCGTATTCTCTAAAGAAAAGTGATACTCTTCTGAGACTCAGCTGTGTGCATAACTAAACTGAGTTTGTCTGATGCAGTAAAACCTGCTTTTGCAGAACAGAAAACCTCAGGTTTTTTCATCCTTAATGCAAAAAGGAAAGCAACAGGAAATTACTCATAAAAATGCATTCAAGAAAAAATTCCAGCATAAATAGTACACAGGTCATATATTAAATGACATCCAGCATTCTAAATGTTTGTCCTCTATCAAAATGCATTAGAGTTCAAGTTTTAAGGTTTTATTTCCCCTCTAGTACTATGCTACATAATGTTTTCCACTTGATGCATCTTTTTCTTTTTTCTGGTTTCCATTAGTTCACTTTGAGCAATTCAGATCATTCTCTGAACAAACTTAATTCTTTCTTGTGGGAATTGTTATACAGTATTGTTTTTTTGGTGTTTGAATATCCATCTGAAATACTTGAGTGCTGAGTACCACGTATGGTGTTTTTCAGAAGAATTGCCAATTTATACATACTTACTCCTTAAGACTATTTTGAGTCAAAACACTAGATATTTAAAGTTTGGCAGTCTGAATATTCAGTAGATGTTATGCTTGCTGTGAAATTAATTAGTTTTAATAGTGTGAGTCCTGCAAATGGATACACTGTCTATGTACCAGTTAAATGTTACTGTAAATGAAAGACAATGATGGCATTTTGTAATAAATACAGCATAGATTTTAACACTTCTTCCTCACTTTCCTGTAGCGTTTTCCATGTGCTCATCCTGAACATAGCAATTGTAGGAGCTGGAGTAGCAATGGCAAGATTTTATCCAAATATAGGAGGTATCATAAGGTGAGTGAGTGTTGCTTGCACAGTGAACTTGCTTGTGGTGTTGCTGCATGTTTACCCCTTGATGTTGAAAAGGAACAATATGAGTGCAGGTAATTGTATCTTAATATTTTATGAGGCCTACGCCTTTTTAAGTTGTAAATAATGACTTAGGAATATAAACAACTGGTTCTTTTGAACTTCTGATGAACAGCTATCTGTAATTATGCCTCTGTATCTGAGGTGATTGGGATGATTCCCCAAGCTGCACTGGAGCTGTATCTGAGGACCTTCTAACTATACACGCGAAAGAAAATGCTGTCAGTAGAAAAGCTGTTTGGTTATTGTATGGCTTCTCCCCTGGTTTTGTGTTAAGACCACTGAAGCTGTTTTGAAAGTCCATAATAAAATTTCAAGAAAGCAAGTAACTTCAAAGGGAAAAGTGACATAAAAGTTTTACTTCTAAATGATACCTTAAATTTACCATGTTAATCAACATCTAGGATTTCTGTAATTGAGAAAGATTAGAGGAAACAGTCTTATGAGTTTTATTTTCTACATTTGACACCACCATTTTTGTAATCGTCATTCATTCCTAGTTTGCATCTTTCCTACAGCAACCAGGAGAGGGAGGTGTTTAAAAATACAGAAATCTGCAATTATAAAACCAGAATGACAGACTTGGATTTTACCAGAGAGCAAAATAACTTACTTTTGCTCAGAGACTGATCTTTGAGGTTTTTTTCCATTTCCTTTTTTTTATACATCATCTTTCAGTGAAAATTTTTATATTCCAGTAATAGAGATGGTCTAGTCATTAATTCCAAACAAATACCATGTAATACATTTATCTGTTTGCAGACTGATCCTTATCTCTGCTAATATGTTCATACTGTGCATAGTAACTGAACATTTTGAACAGTGAACTTCCAGCTGATAAATTGTCTCTATGAAGCCTCATTCATTTTGCTGGTTTTGTGTTGTAGATAGTTACTCTGTATTATGATGTTTCCTCTGTCTAAAAGGAATGTTCAAATATTTGAAATAAAAGATGTTGTTAGTTAATAATGAACATTTGGCTGCAGTATAGCTTAGTAGGTGGAAACTCACAATAGTGGAAAATAATGAGAAGGTTTTGGTAAGCAAGGGAGTGGTCAGAAAAAAGAGTAGTTAAATGTTTCACTTGCTGTGGTTGATCATCTTACCAAGAGGACATGCTGATCTTTTCAGTTCTGGAGAATGGTGTATTAGGAGTTCATTAAATAAATTAAAATAAAAGTTGCAGATTTGGGATTTCTATGCTTACATGCTTTAAAATATGTCCTCAGAAGGCTGGGGTGCAATGAAATTTGCAATCCTGACAGTAAAGGATGCACTGTCTAGTCTTTTTCTGTTGCATGTTGACAAATTTCCTGAAAGAAAGTAGAAACATGAAGTCAGAGATGTTTCTAAGTCAGAGTCAGTCACCCAGAAGCATCTAGGGATGTGACTGAAACATCAGAGGCGTTTCAGCGTGCATGTACAGGAGAGCAGGGGGCTGAGCAACACAGAGGGGGATAATTAAATGCCAGTGAAGGAAGTGAGGGACAGCAGGTAACAGAAATTATGTTCAGGGACTGCAGATAGTTATTGTTTAGCCAGACTGTTCATTGATTTGAGGAGGGGAAATGACAAGAAGAAATTAGAGTTAACACAAAGCATTCTTTTTTTTTTCTTCTTCCTCTCTCCCCTCCTTTCCTCAGATACTCTGGAGCAACATGTGGTCTGGCCTTTGTGTTCGTGTATCCGTCCCTCATCTACATGATCTCCCTGCATCGTGCTGGGCAGCTGACGTGGCCAGCATTGATCATTCACATCTTTATAATCCTCCTTGGACTGGCTAATCTGATTGCACAATTCCTATTGTGAAAACAACTCCTTCTCCCTGTGGCTATCAGAAGTGGTAGTGTGACTTCTAGCAGCAGCCTTGAGCAACATTGTCACGCATGAGAACAAACAGTCCTCGGTATGATCTTGAGAAAAGCTGCACCTTTGAAACAAATTCAAAACACATCTTTAAGCCCTTTGACAGGAAACCTGTCTTGCTCTTCTAAAAACACAATTTTGTGAGGAGTGAAATGGTTCATATTTGAGTGAGGTAGTTCTCCTGGTTTTGTTGAACATACATCAAAGAGTAATGAAGCTCATTTTAATTTTTTACAGCACACTTTTCAAAACGCACAGCTTTCAGCCTCAGGCTGTAGAACTCCTCTTTTCTCCAGAGGAACTGTCTTTACCTTTATTAACAAACATACTTTCACAGTATTGTTCAGTGACTGTTGAAATGCTCTTTTGTTGTAGTTATTTTCCTGTTTTGTTTGGAAAAAGAAGAAATTATTGTCTTTCCCCCTTTTCTTCCCTAGGTTAATTTATAGTCATTTGGATCAAAATGCACTCTTAATTTTGAATATGCTATTAAATTGGTTTGGCAGTGTTTTTCCTCTAGGAAATTCCAACTAAGAGAAACAATAAACTCATGTCTCAGTGTTTTATTCAGAACCAATATGTACACAACATATTTGTGATTTTACAATGAAAAAAGTCAGAAGGATAAAAAAAATTAGAACAAGACAATTAAAATTAGAATTCCATGCTTGACCTCACTTCAACTCTGTTAGCTGGGCTATTATTATGCTGTGAAGTTGTTTTGTCAGGAGTTGCATGTGGATTTATGGATGCATGTTGGACACAATTTTCATCACAGGCTTGCTCCTTCCCTTGTAGGGACTTACTCTAGTGATCACTTGCTATGGTCTTCCACTAAATTATTGTAAACATTTTGAATGTGAGCAGAGAGACAAAGGTAGCACTCTTCAGGATTGTGGACTAAATCAAATAATTTTAAGTTTTAAATAATTCCTAACAGAAGCTGGAAGAATCTGGGAAGAGTTTTGTTGTGTTGGGGGTTTTTTGTAACTTCTTATTTACTAAGGGGATGTACACATGTAAGCACTCAGACGCTTTCATTCACCTACTGTCCGTGAGTCTTGAGTCTTAACCTAAAACATGCAATAATTAAGTTGCCAGACTCTAGAGTAATGTCATCTTTTGTGGTTGGAGAGAGAGTAAAAACTCCTTTTTGTACAGAATTTCAGTGTATTAAAATAATCAACAAATGTGGAATAATTGAAAGAAAACTTGGAACAATGCTAAATTTGAAAGAGGAAGAAAGTTGGAGTCATGCAGTATTTGTGAAGTAGGAGTTGAGTTGGGAAAGACAGTTACATTGCAGGGTAAGAGTCCATATTTAATCAGAAAGACAATGAAAAGCATAACCCAGATTATTGCCATGCTTCTCTGGGAAATGATACGAATTTTTGTAGTAGAGATGTAAATAATTTTGTTTGAGTTAGGGTCCTCAAACCGTGTGTAGGACACTGACTTGCATATGTGTCCTTTGATTTGTATGAAATGCAAGATCATATGGGTTTGAGATGTCTGCAGAATAGAACAATTATTTCAGATTCTTTTTTTCTTGTGAAACTTTTTGTGCCTTTGATTCAGAATTGGGAGAATGTGTCCATCGTCTGTTCTGTATTAGAAGTATTTGTCCCATCCTGGTCATTTTCCCTGTGTATACTCTTATCTTCCACTGCTCAGTTTCCTTTTTCTCTGGGGCATATCTGTCCACCCTTTTAACTGCTGACAGTGAGTGTATCTTGCAGTGATGCCACCATTAGCACTGGCCAATGCACCTGCCATAGGGACTGGGTCTGACCTCTCCCATAAAATACTTCCTTGAATGTTTCGATAGTCATCACAGAATGTAACTTGATGGCTGCATTCCCTCAACATTCTCAGCAGTGTATTTCACCAATTTGTTTGGGTTTTTTTCACTTTCCAACAAACTACTTCTTTCCAACAAATTTTACAAATTTACAGTTCCACAACTGTAGTAAGTTGTTAAATGTCCTGGAGTTATTTGATACAGAAGAGAAGTAATTGAACACCAGAAGGAAAAGACAAAAGATGCAGGATTTCAAGCATCATTGGCTCATTCACATTACACTTCTGTGCTTATTTATTATAGATTCAGTGCTTAATTTAGGTGCAAGCCCTGATGAGTGCAGGTACTTCAGTTTGATTATGTCCTTCCATGTTTCATGTAGATATGAATCCTTGCCATTGAAGCAGATGGTAAAATACCCATTGATTTTAGCAGAATTAAATTCAGTTAGGATCTAGTAGTTCAACAGAAATTCCCAATTAAGATGGAGTTCAGGGTGAAGTGTCTTAATTGCATCTTCTGTTTGTCTCTTTTCCAGTTGTGTGATGTACAATGATTTTTTTTTTATTTATTTTTTTTTTAAATCCTGTGTTTGGGTTGGAAGGGACCTTAAACATCATCTAGTTCCAACCTGGCCTTGAACACTTCCAAGGAGGGGGCATCAACAGCCTCTCTGGGCAGCCTGTTCTGGTGTCTCACCACCCTCACCATGAAGGACTTCTTCCTTATATTTAATCTAAATCGGTCTTTTTTCAGTTTAAAACCATTACCCCTCATCCTATCACTACACCCCCTGATAAAGAGTCCCTCCCCATCCTTCCTGTAGTTCCCTTTAAGTACTGGAAGGCTAAAGTCTCCCCAGAGCCTTCTCTTCTTCAGGCTGAACAACCCCAACTCTCTCAGCCTGTCCTCATAAGGGAGGTGCTTCAGCTCCTGATCATCTTCATGGCCTCCTCTGGACCCGCTTGAGCAGGTCCATGTCTTCATGTTGATGCCTCCAGAGCTGGACACAGCACTGCAGGTGGGGTCTCACGAGAGCAGAGTAGAGGGGGACAGTCACCTCCCTCAAACTGCTGGCCACACTCCTCTTGATGCAGCCCAGGATGCAGTTGGCTTTCTGGGCTGTGAGCACACATTGCTGGCTCACAGTGAGTTTTCCATTCACTGATACCCCCAAGTCCTTCTCTGCAGGGCTGCTGTCAGTCTGCTCATTGTTCAGCGCTTGGGATTGCCCTGACTTATGTGCTCGGCATTGTTGAACTTAGTGAGTTTTTCATGGGCCCACCTCTCCAGCCTGTCCAGATCTCTGGATGGCACATCCCTTCCCTCCAGCGTGTCAACTGCACCACACAGCGTGGTGTCACTGGTGAACTTGCCGAGGGTGCGCTCAATCTCGCTGTCCATGTTACCAACAAAGATGTTAAACGGAGGAACACTGCTCATCACTGCTCTCCACCTGGACATCAAACTGTTTACTTCAACTCTTTGAGTGTGACCGTTGGGCCAATTCCTTATCCACCTAGGGTCCATCAGTCAAATCCATGTCTCCAATTTAGAGACAGGGATGTCATGCAAGACAGTGTCAAAAGCTTTGCACAAGTCTGGGTAGATGACATCAGTTTCTTTTCCCTTACCCACCAACGGTATAACCCCATCTGAGTTAAAACTTAGAAGGAAATTATTCAGTACCTTTCTGAAAGCCACTTTTATCTCAGGGTAGCAGAGATAGGTTCTTACTGCACTGTTTATTTATACAGGCCTTTAATAGCTTTGATTTGAATTATAAACTGTAAGTATTAAAGTGATAAATATTTCATTACAGTTTCATCAGCTGAAGTACATTTTCTTATGAAAAAGTATTTTTTATTTTTACTGCATGCAGTTGAGACATTCACAAGTGTCAGAAGCAAGTGTATAAGTAGGGTGGCATTTTCAGGGTTTTTTTTCTTTGTCAATAGTCAACATTCTAGGTTAAGTAATATTTTAAAATTTAATGGCAACTTAAATGGTCTAAAAGACAAGAGCTAGGTTGCGGTGTGTCTTTTCATGCAAGCACAAAATACAGTTCTCCACAAATGCATACTTTATCTTGTTTGCTCATGCGACCGGCAGTGATGGCCAGCTAATTCCAATTCCTTATGTTCTCTGTTCCAGTAAATCATTCTGTGATTTAGTGGAGCAGAATAAGTAATATATGGACCTGATGGTGTATTGTGAAATGTCATTTATTACCTTCTCATAGAAGAAAAATATTTTCTGCTGGAAATTTTGAATTCTGTCTTTACATTTGATCTTTGCTGGAGTAAGCTGTGAGGTGAAAATACTGTCAGCTCTAGACACATTAAGAATCTAAGGTTTTCTCATAGCAGTAGCAGGCTCTTTTGCAATGAGGCTCTACCTCACTGCATTCTGAAAATCCAGCCCTTATATTACATGGTAACTCTGTGATGCAAACTGAGTTTTCATTGCATGAGGCTCAGGCAGCTGTAATCATTTGTGCTGATACCATCAAGCTAAAATCCAGATCGCAAGATATATGTCATTAACCCAATATGACCTTTAGACATTGCCAAAGCATCAGTAGCCAGGGAATTTCCCAGGAAGCTCCAAGAGCAGTTGTGGACATGTCTGTGGGTGATTATACATAGTTTGAGCACCGAGACCAAGGCATTGGTTTTTCAGTGGGAGCTTTGTGATGAACAGAAGTAGTTGTACTTTCTAAGGACAGGGACAGATGATGGGACTTCATGACTGCTTCTGCTATGAGGAGAGCCAGAATTATCTTCTCCATATCCATGCTTGTACTAACCTCATTGTCTTCTCTGTAATGGCCTAGCATCATCTGTTCCAGTTTCTTAATGTTATTGTGGCCCAGATTCTTCCTTTCAGCTTCTAGCAGGCTTCAGAATCTCTCCTTTTGCTTATTAGCTCTCAGTTTCCCCTTGCTCTTCCAGTCACTCACAGCTACATCTGTTCCTACAAATCAATTTATCCTGTTCTTTCTGGCTTAATGTTAATGTAATGTCAGTGTATCAAATCCTGTAGCTCCGATGATCTGCACAGCAAAAGTAAGTGTTTAGGATTCAAACACTGTATCATTTAAATGGAGGGAATAATCATGGAGGACATTTTATGTAATATTTCCTTTTTTCTTAAAAGTTCAGCCTTTCAAACTCCACATACAAAAATTATGTAAAGATAATGGCATTTGGTTGCAATGTTGGATTGACTGAGTTTGTCCACCCAGCCTTCAGACTGCCTCCTCCTCCACCAGGTTTCCACACAATGGTTTAATGCTTTTGATTACATGGTCACTTAACTTTTTCCCCCTAGGGCGTCAGCTTGAGAGTGTGAAGGTTGCAGGAGAAATTGTTTTCCTATCATTGCTCAGACCTGCCATCTCCTAATTTTTAAGTGCTGGACTTTGGGCTAATGTTAGTTAACATGCAAGAACGTGCAGCCACCCCTAAGGATGCTTAAAACTCCTTTGTGGCCTGTGTCTGTAAATGTCCTCCAGCATGGCATAAAGAGCCGAAAGCTGAGAGGCAGTAACAGTATAACTGAATGCCGGAGCTGCTGTGGGAAGGAGGAGAGACTTCCCATAGTAACTGAGGCAGTCAGATCTTTGGTAGAGAGTCTGCATTCTGGGAAAGCATATTTTTGTCTTTCAGATTTTGCCCTAGAGGACAACTGCACTAAGCATTTATCATTACTATAATGGATATGAAGGTACCTGAGGAAAAATAATAGGAAGAGGATTAATGCTTGGTAATAGCTGGTACCAGCTGTACCAGCAATACAGTATCCCTCTCGCCTTGAGTGGAAAGCAGAAATTAATTTCCATGGGCAGTTCATATGGGAGCTGTCTTCAGTAATGAAAATACTGGTTTAGCAGAGCTCTTGGTAACTTCCTAATAGGAAGTAAAATATTAATGATATGCAAAGTACTAATCTGTTTGTTTTACCTCAATGTACTGTGCTTGATGGAGGAATACAGTGTAAGCTTTTCCCTCTGAGTTGGTGTTCTGTGAGGTTGGAGTCACGATCAGCATGTTTAATTTTTTCTGCAGTTGAGAACACCATTAAACTTTTCTTGGAAAGAACAGGACTCAACTTGCCAGATCCTCTCTACCTCTCCTTTAATTTCAGATGGTGAAACCAGTGCTACATAACTGTTGCTCTGTGGTTTGTATTTCTAAACACCAGCTGATCCAAGCAGAGCAGGGAGGGTCTCTTTCTTTTTTCAAATTTACTCAATTATGGCTTTTCCCATATACCTCCTTGTTGTAGTCCTGAAGTAGATTAAACAGTCCAGATGAAAAATGTGGCTTTATGTAAAACAATTTTTCGTCCCTTCTTAGTATGTTTATATTGCAGCTAGGTTAAAGCTCATTGAATTACTTCCAATAGCCCAAAGACTGTTTAAAAACTGCTGTCCATGTGTTTCTTTTCATCATTGTTTGAATGGTCTTTTTTCAATTCCATGGACCTTGTTCACTTCTGACATTTCATTAAACTGTTAGAGGAAATTGAGATTAGTCAGGTCATTTCAAATCAACACAGCAAACTCATTCAGCTGCGGTATGAGGGGAGGAGAAATGCCTACACATTGAGTTCCAGGCTAGATACTAAATGCCACACCAAACAGAGACATTGTCCCCAGTGCCCAGCTGGCTTCATCTCTTAGAGCAAAAGGAGATTGTATTATGAAATTAGTACAGGACATTCAAATAACAGGCTGGTTTGAGGAGGAGAGGGGAGGCTGTTTTACATTGAAGCTGTTGGTTTTTATTTAGCTCCTCAGCGAATATCTAGTTTTTTGCATACATATGTGTAATAAGAGCCCAGATCAGGATACCAAGTTAGCATAAACAAACACAGGGACTTCACCTTCCAGTTCAAGGGGTCTGAGCTGGTACAGGGTGGAAGAGGCAGTGAAGATGATTCATGACAATGCTTTGTGCTGGCTTTGTGGGTTTGGGATTTGGAAGAGCTTATATTCAATCTGGATCTCTTCTCTTATAGAAGCACAAAGCTCTTTAAGGGAAGGCTGGATCTCACCTTTCCTATCCGCAGTCCTTCAGTTTGAGAGGCAAAATTTGCATAACTGAAGGCTTCTGTTTTGGAAATACAGCTGCTATTTAGGGTGCATTCAGATTGACATCAACCGACAGAAGATCATATCCTGCCTCAGTTTATTCTTGCGCAGGAAACTGCTGTCTTCTTCCAGAGACTAGATTTATTCAGCCCTTGTAATCACATTACTTTATGGTGCCAACAGCTCCCTAACTGGTTTTACAGTGGTTGTTCAGGTTTAAGTGTTATCTCATCTCTCTTGTTCATCATATACAAAAGGAGTGAGAAGTTAGGGGTAACCTCTGATAGCCAAAGTCCAGCTAGCTGTGTTTTCTTCTCTGAATAATTAGTTGGGATATCAAAAGTGTAACAGAATTTGCTATTCTTAATGCTGGGGGGAGGTGGTGCCGGTGTTGGTGTTGAATTTTTTTAAACTAACTGAAGTCTTGCCTAAAACAATATTGGTCTATGAAAACAATGAGTTGCAACTGCATATACTGTTCCTGCTCCTACTCCAACAGAAGAAAACAAGTTTAG